TATTTTCGAACGGGGGGATCGCAATTTTAGGTTTTGTGTGAAAATAAGTCCAGGACTACAAATGTGCATCATGAAAGTGACATAATTGAACCAGACACGAATAAAACTGAGGAAAAATGGCTGTAAGTTCAGCAAACTTCCCACAAGAGGAAAGAACCACCATAAACCTGGCCACGTGGGAAGTAGCAGCTACGCTAGGGGAGAGGGGATGATGTGGTGACGTCATATATGCGACGTGTCGATCATGCTAATTATGAACTTTTACAAGCTGATAAATCTCAAAGTATGTGACTAGCATGGTCAAAACACCCATCATTGCTTTTCATTTAAATTGCAGTACAACATATGTGCGATCCAAGGCGTAAGGCAAAGCGGATTAGGAAATAGCTGTTTTAGCTCCATTGACTTGCATTCATTTTTCTCCCGGGGACCCATGAGCCAACCGGAAAGGGAGGAGATGTAGGCTCCCTATCTCTTTAACAGGATTGTATTTTCCTCAAACTTCTGTTGAATTCTGCACAAGCCTTCTGCCTCCTTGTGGACAATTAATGTACTGCAGACGAATTATAATTTTGTTTTTAGGCTAATATTTTAATGTTGTGTTTTTAATAATAAACTTTTTTTAATTAGCCTATAAATAGATCAGTCTTTTGAAAAGAAAAATAATTTCTGATTGTTATTTACACTTTTCAGATTTGACAAAAAATATTTTATTATTTTGAGGACTTTTAACCTTGTTTTTAATTTAAAATGAATGTTTATATTAACTTAAATATTTATACATTCCTGACAAAATTAAGCGACGAAAACAAAGAAGTCCGACCACCCTGTTATCGCAAGCCTTAATTTGCCCACTTTTGAGCACGTTTGGTTATTTAACGGCATCTTAATCGCCGTCTTTAAACTTAAAACACCGAAAAAAAGTGGCAGAAATCCCTTCAGAACGCCGTATTGCAAGGGAGTGCTGGGCAAGAGGCTGAACAAGTTACAGTTACATTTGTTTTAGCTACACAGACATGTTATTTACAAGATTACAGAATGCAGTTACAACCCAGGGAATCTGTCTCAAGGGCTTTCAGTCTAGGTTTTAAATTGTCCTTATCTTTTACTACATCCTTATGAGCTGTCGTTAGTGAGCGCAGACAACTTTGTTGTACACCTGTGCAATGAAACGATCTTTTTATCATGAATTTCTGAAAATGTCAGATATGTAAATAATAGGTTCATTCGATTAGGTATTTTTTTCGTTTTTTATTTACTTTTACATATAATCAGAAAATTTTAATATGATGAAAGTCATTTTACATTCCTAACAAATAAAAACACATGTTGAAAAATCCCCTCGTGGCTTTTGGCTTACGTCTGGGTGCCCTCTAGTGGTGAATACATCCATCTGATACAAGTCTGATCACATCAGCCGAGTAGCCCCTGGCTGCATCCCGGAGATCGGGGCGGGGCTAAATGTGGGCGGGGTTAAACGTTTAGAGGTGGGTGGAGACAACTGTTTGACTCCTGCCCCTCTCTCAATGGAACCAGGAAACCGCGAGTAGCCCCTTTCTAAGGATTAGAAAGCCCTAAAAACCCACAAAACCCATGTAAAGCATAACATTGGTAATCAAATGACTTGTTTGCTGGATGTCATGATAATTTTAAAGAGCAGATAATTACAGGCACCATTTTTGATCCAATCTGTTCTGATATTTTTATTCTTTTTTCTACTTTTGTATGGTATGTGTATTTATAGCACATAGGTATTTGTGTCTTTTAGCTATACTTTTGGTACCTATATAAAAGGTTCAGGCATTTGATAGACTATTCTTTAAACCTGCCAAAACCATTTTAATAGTTGATTTTATCAATGCCGCCTTTATTTTAATAGTCATTTCCCAAGTGAGTGTAAAACAGTACAGACAGACACGGGTAAATTTGTTGTACACTCAGTTATTTCAGCTACATTAAGAGGACCAGAGACTTAAATTGTGCTGATACTTCTTAAAACATGCCAGGGTTTGAGGCGGGGTGGTGAGACACCCAAGAATGCAGACTAAATTTTTCAAAAAAGGTAAATTTAATAGCGCAAACAGCCAACACAGGAATAAAAAAAAGTACAAACAAATGAACCAAAAAGCACACAAAAAGCAAGAGAACCTCCAAAAAAACAATGTGAGGAGGAAAAAGAATGCAAAAACTGTGACACCGCTGTACTATGGCATTTCAAAGCCAGAAAACACCCTGATCTTCCTTTTTTCCTCAATTTCTCTGCAGAACTCCTCATAGTCTGACTGAAAACTAAACATGAACAGGAACGGTTCCCTGCAATCGTTCATCTCCTCTTCATCTAGGCCATCACAGAAGCATAACCTCTCCACTGCCCTCCGGCAAGCTTCCCTGTCCATGGTGATGACCTGGGGAAGGGAAAGGCTTCCTTTGAAGGACCTTGTGGTACACCACCTTGCTGCCTCAAAGGTGTCCTCAAGCAGAGAATTCTCCTAATCAAAAATAAAGACAATATTAAAATTACTGCTGTCAAGAGATTAAAAACATATTTTACATTAATTATGTATGATCTGAAAGTAATCTAATCTTTTAATTTAATCTAATAACTGTACATAATATAAGCCTTATTTTCAATGCTAACAGCTAACCAAACAGCTGATGCTGTGGTCTTTCCAAACTGCAGCACGGATGTGCATCTGATACAGGAGAGAAGCTGTCAGCAGCCTTGATGCTCAGTGACACACCCATTACATCCAAATGGTAACAATAACTTTGGAAAAAGTTGCAAGAAGGGTGAAAAAAACAGAGTAAAGATAACAAGGTCGCTGAAATAAACACTGCTGCAGCTAATCTCTCACCGGTCTTGTCACTGTAACGTCAACCCTTCAACTTATGAGTTTACATCAACCCTTCAAGAACACCAGCAAGAAGCATAAAAGAAAAGAAATTGGTTTATTTAAAAGTCCCATAAAGAAGCAGTAGATTAAAAATGATTAACATAATTAAAATATATAACATGTTAATCATGGCTGTAAAAATTTAATTGCAAGTAATGGAATTATTTGACACCTCTAATTAAAATAGAGGTTGGAGAAGAAACAATGACACAAGAAAAGCCAACAATATAAAACATACTCTGTTCCCTGTGTCCAGTTCCAGCAAGTTCTCAGCCTCTGCTAGAAAGGAAAAAGATTGTGGTTCATAAAAAGCATATTAACAGTGCAAGTTGTAAAAAAGATCAGTTGCTTAGTATTCTGGTTTAATGAAAATAGAGAAATGACTGAAAAACTTGCTTTGAAAAAAAAAGTGCTCGTCTGGAACGGTCTTAATTTTCTAATCTTGGCAAAGTAAGAATTTCATTGTGCAGAAAGCGTGTTTTTCTAGCTGTGCATATGACAAAAAGTTGAATCTTGATTCTTCCCACATCCCATTTCGACAACCTAGGGGGTTGTATACAATAATACTTGTTTGAACAATACCTGATGCTGCACAGACTAATTCAGTATGGCAGGACTTCTTAGGAGGGACCACTTCCAGGCCCTGAAATAAGTGAAGGAATTATGCTTTAGTCTGCAAGCAACAGTTAAACTACAAGAATTAATCAAATTGTCTCTCACCTGTTTTACTCTTTCCTCTCTCCGTCTTTTTCGTGCCTGCACCCTGTCTTCCTCAGACCTTGGTGATACAATGACAACATTCATTCACTATGAAAACATTCATGTTATTCTGTTGACACTTGACTGAGCAAAACGTTTATATAATTACACATATCAGATTAGCACTCTAACCATAATAATAAAGCCCATCAGGTGTAGAACTCAGATACAAACATAAAAAGCTTAAAAAACTAACATATTTCCCCCTGTAAAATATATTTTCCACCAAAAAGTAATCATGACCACACAACATATCTCCCCAAAGCTATAAAAGTGTTCCTACAGGTTTCTTCAACTTAAATTTAAGTCTGTTTAAGATCTTTCTAAAGCCATATAGAAAATTAATACCTATTTCACAGCACTATCAGCAAAAAAGTAAATAAATAAAATAAAATTCTTGAACTAGTTTTCATTTATTTATCTATCCAACTTTACCAATATATTTTGACAAAACACTGGGTGGGCACTTGGTAGAAGATCGGTGATATTTTTAAACAAATGGTTAAAAATATAACCGGATCTCTGGTTTGACATTAGAACCTTAACAATAATTTTTGTTGCCTATATTTTAGTTTAATTTTAAGACGTTTTTTTTATTATTGTTAATTTTATTACCCTAATTTCTTGCAGTATTTCTATTGTATAAAAGCAACAGTGCAAACAGTAAAGACACAAAATTGAAATAAATGTCTAAAAATAGCCTTTATTAATACTAGTGCTTCTCTTCATGTCATCACTTGTTTGGAATATTTTGATGAACTTCAGAAGAAAAATGCAGTACAGAAAACTTACATCCAACACAAATTTTAAGACCCAGATGCCAAAATTGAAGGGTTTCTCTAGTCTTTTAAAGGTATTACTTTCAAATTCATAAATTCAATGCTTTTAAGACTCCGTGGGAACCCTGTAAACATTTCTCCTCAAAAGTAAGTCACCCCGCATGTGTAAAATAGGCTATATGTATCATCTAAAACTCATAATGGGGAAAAAACCTTTAATTTCCAAGTTCATAAAACGTTCGCCCAACATTGGTCCTCGATATTGTTAAAACAGAGAAAGAAAAATCCTGGCTTACCTTGATTTTGGCAGCTACTTCCCTCTGTCCCGGCTACAGCATTGCACACACACAGCGGTTTCCTGGTTCCATTGAGAGAGGGGCAGGACGCAGGAGTCAAATAGTTGTCTCCACCCACCTCTAAACGTTTGACCCCGCCCACATTTTTATTACTTTAATAGGGACAGATCGTGTCACTGTCTTCAGTGTATTAATATCAATGCAAGAAGCAGTAATAAAATCATGTTAAACATGAGCTAATGCAACAATCAGTACTATATATGAGGTAATTTTGGTTAATTTAAGCATAAAATAGCATCTTCAGGAAACCAGGAAATAGCATCTAGGATGAACTAGTACTGTCTGTATTTTCTCATCTTGGATTGGACGATCAAAGTTTAAAATATGTGGCTGAGAAAACCTTTGGGAGTGGCATACAAAACGCCGTCTTTTACGCCGTCGGGAAAGTCACAGAACGCGCTGGAAGTGCCTGTAGGCGTTCGATGCGGCGTTCAATAACTAGAAAAACGTCGTTTTTTACGGCGTTCTGGAAGACTTCATGAAGACGGTGTGCAATGCGGCGTTCTGAAGGGATTTTCGCCGCTTTTTTCGGCGTTTTAAGTTTAAAGACGGCGATTAAGACGCCGTTAAATAACGAAACGCGCACAAAAGTGGGCAAATTGTGATCCCTAAGACTTGAGATACCCTGTCACCTCAGCGTGCGCTCAGCCTCGCGAGCACATGGCTGGGTGTTGTTGCGCCGAAGAGCCACGTGAGCACCGAAAGCCGCCTCCTATTGGCTCGAGTGGGAGCCGAGAAAAAACACACACACGCACACACCCTGCAGCTGCGGATGAGCGGATTTCATGCTCTCCTAGACACGGAGACAGAGACACGGAGAGGAGTTGACGCCCAGCCCGGAATACCTATCACTCAGAGCGGCGGTCAGAGGGAGCGGAGCCCAGTAAAGAGACCCGCATGGAGCAGAGGAGCGGTAAGTCCCTTCATTAGGATAATAGTGGAACCGTCCGTTCGTCGGTGCGCTTTGTTGCGACGTTCACTTCAGCTGCTCCTCAGAAATTAGAGTTGAATGAAAATGAAGAAAAACAGAAAACAGCTGGGAACTTTCTGGAGCTGCACGTGACTAAAGCTCCAGTTTTCCACCGTTAATGGAAGAACTTTTAATATTCCTCTTATTAATGAAAACTATTAATTATTGACAACTAATTCAAATTTATTTAGAAATAACCTTTTATGAGCTGATCAGATTTTTAAAAACTGCTTCATTTAGTGATTCGTTTGAGAGTGCAACCTTAGTGTTTTTGTGCCTACCAGGTGACTTCTGTTTTAACTCCTTTGCCAGTGTTTTTGTTTAAACTTCACACAAGTTGAGTAATAAGCAGAAACTTCTTGTTTGACAGCGTGTCCCTTTTCACTGCCAGGACTTGCTGACTCTTTAAATGCATCATTAGTCTTCAGAATGGACCAGATGTGTGTTTAGATTAGGTGGGATGATATAAAATGAAGATTTTTATGAATATTATGTAAGATTGTAGGAAGTGTTGGTGTTACGTAAGAAGCTCCACCTGTTTGTGTCAGATGGAGATAGTTTAACAGGAAGGTGGAGCACCGTTGGGGAAACACTCCTTCATGACCTCAGACTAGTAAAGAGAACATGAGGTCATAAGCCAGACGTGTGTGTGTGTGTGTGTGTGTGTGTGTGTGTTTTTCCAACAGAACAAAAAAGTATCCTGATGCTCTCAGCTGAAGCCGAGTGAATCTAAGTTTGGGTTTCTTCTATTCTCTTTGACAAATTGATCTTTCTTCTCTTCTAAAACTTTATTTGAAAAACAGCTTACAATACAAACATTGTAACCTGAGTTCGCTGTAGATCAATTTACATGACTGCAGGCAAAACAAAGAACAGGAGAAAATGGCAAAAGAAGAACGAGGAGGCACAAAGTAGAAGAAGGGAATGTAGACAAGACGAGAATAATTAGTTCATTCATTAGAGATGCACCAACCACTCAACCGGTGATCAGAATCATCCAATAATTCATCATAATCGGTTTAATTCCCCCTTCCTCTGAAGGCTGAGGAATAAGACCTCCAGTGAGATCGTCAAGGTTCTAGTAGCTTTGCAGGAAACGTTAAAGTTTTACGAGGTTGGTTTAAACAATGCTCGGGGTCTTTTCGTCTGACAGCCGTAAGGACTGACCTAAACACGCCTGTAACAAGTTTACAAAACGGTCTGCAGCTGGTGAACGCGTGTTCCTGAGGTGGAACAAATCATCTGATTTTACAAGCTGTTTGAGATTCTTCCCAGATGTAAGAAAACAGCGAAACACTGAAATGTCGCTATGGTATCAAAACCCTATTTCTAAGCAGTTTATCAAATGTTTCATGAGAATTTACATGCAAACATTCACTGAATTTATTTTGTGTGGTTCAATTCAAACTCTGCTAGGTGGCAGCAGTGTGTACCACCTTCATTTTGACGGAACAATGAGATCCCACGATAACACAAGGTGTGTCTTGGAAGCGTCTGGCCAGAGTTTTCCAATTAAATTCAGTCTTAAATGAGTTGTTCACTCGTTAAATGAATACATTTGCAGTGGTTTCCAGTAGGAATGAATGCCATGTAAGTTGTACTCTGGGGAGGGAAAAGCCCTGGTAAACCTGTTTCAGGAACTAGACGATTGCCAGATCAGAGAAGAGCAACAGATGGCAGGATCTGGAGTCTTACTTGATATTTGGACATCTCACGTCTGATTGGCTAACAGCAACGTGACTCTACCATTGACTTGGTTTGCTTTGCATTGTTGATGTTTTATCTCCACAAATAACACAAACCAGGAGGAGTTCTGCTGTGTGGTGGATTTGCTAATGCTAACAGTTAGCTTGCCGAGACGTTCTCTGTTTCCTGGATGCTAAACTAACAACAGCTTTCCCCGTTGTGAGTCTATGAATGTTAAGTTACAGTGTGATGTCATCCTGTCAGGCTTTTTAATGATCACATTATGGAAATTCAATGCAAGTATTCTATGAAAAAACTGAAAAGATGGTTAAACCTGCATTTTAATCACGCCTTTGTTTAGAAACACTTAGTCTTCTATGATGTTTAGCCAAAGATTTTATGAGCCATTGTGGAAGATTCAAACGGCCACTTGTGGCTCCAGAGCGGTAGATTGCTGACCCCTGATATAGACCATAGATCTATTATAAGTTTTTTTTTTTAAATAGTCTAATATGTCCCCTTTAAGGGTGCAAAGGTGAGTAATTAACTGGAACGGGACATAATCAGTATCCATCAGACTGGACGTGTTCTAGCAGGACCGTGGAATTTTCCAAACTTTAACGCTCAGATCACTGCAAGGCAGTCCTACAGGCGGTGTGTGTGTGTGTGTGTGTGTGTGTGTGTGTGTGTGTGTGCGTGCGTGCGTGCGTGCGTGCGTGCGTGCGTGCACAATGCCCTCTGCATACCCGCCTCATTGCCAGTCTCAGACCCATAAAGACATCCATTGAGACGGGTCACATGATGAGATCATGAGCGGGGGGGGGGGGGGGGGGGGGCTTACGATTGGTGGAAGAACACAAAGGCAATATTTTTGTAAATCTAGAGTTAATTCAGGCTGTAGGTGAAAAAGAAAAAAGCGACAGGTGGATTAAGATCACTGAACTAATCATTTGTTGCCCATTAAACCACTGATGAGGTCATGTTGAGTCCTGCACCAGTCACTCTTATGGGAATCATTCAGCTTTTTGCTGTCAGAACAGAAGCTCAAAATTCCTTTTTTATTTGTTTATTGTTTTGGGTCAGTGAATGCACCGTATTAAAGCACATGCCCTTTGGTGACTAGAGAGTTCATCTGGAAATACTTAAAATCATCCTTCTGAAAAGCAAAAGGATCACCTTCCCTGGCAGGGGTGTGACTATGGGTGGGCCCAGGCGTGGTGGGGGGTGATGATGTGCAATTGTTTACTCTTCTGACAGTGATGGTAATCTTCTCAGAAGCGTAAATGTGTGTGTTGTGTATGTGTGCAACAACATATTGCAAATTCCATTTTATAGAAATAAAGCAAAACACTCAAAAAATTAGCTTGCATAATTTTCTGTCTATTCAAAAGTTGCTGATATCAGAAGCGTAAAATGTGGTTTATCGCACCTCGCTGAGGTTTATTACTAACTGTAGACCACTGCCCCTTCATTGTGAATTGTATTCTCCAGTGGGATGGCTGCCTTTGTCCACCAAGAGGTTGGGACATTGGTACACCTTCATTTCTAAGGCCATGCTTGGACTACTACCCACCTACATCTGTAACTTAATCTTACAGAGAAATGTAACTTCTCATAGCAAATGATCATTTGTTACTTAGTGCTCCGTTTTCTCGCACCGAACTGGGCAAAAGGGCTTTCGTTCACTCTGCTCCTTCTGCATGGAACAGGCTGCAGGAAAACAGGAAATTAACTTGTCTATTTGACTACATTTAAATCCAGACTTAGAGCAATTGAGACGGATTCCCTGTGTTGTAACTGTCTTCTGTAATAACGTGTGTAAGTGAAAAAATTGTAACTGTAACTTTTGCTGCCTCTTGGCCAGGACTCCCTTGAAAATGGGATTTTTAATCTCAATGGGACCTTCCTGGTTAAATAAATAAATCAAATTAATCAGTGTTGGCAAATACTGTTTATCGGCCATAACGGTCAGATATCGGTATCGGCCCAAAAAAACTTTATATCAGTGCATCCCTAATAGATAGATAGATAGGTAGATGGATTTCTCAGAGGTTGTGCTTCTTTTCCCATCATTCTGACCGCAGGGATAATAAACTGATCATGAGCAGCCTTTTCCCATCACTTTAATTTTTGAAATAATAATAAACATTCAACACCATTACATTTTTATTTAACATCATTATTTAGGGTAAATAGTGCAGTTTAACGATTCGACTTGTGGCCGGAACGCACACTCCCACCATCCTTCTGCTCTGCGTAGACCTGAGCCGATCACCTGTTTGTGAGTAGTCAAATGTCTTTGTAGGGAAAAGCTGAAAAAGCTACAGCCATGAGGTTCACTTTTACCTCAGACAGACTTATTGCTGTTTAATGTTCTGGCTCCACCCGTTGCCTCACGGACTGGAATAACAAATGCTCCTGTAGTAACATGAGTTGCAGTGAGGTTCATGACGAGGCACTGACTGCTCTGGAGTGGACCTTCATATGTGATCCCAAAATAGAAGTTTATATTTTAATTTGACTTTGAATGATAAATGTAATAAAACATCTTATGTGCTTTAATCACGAAAGAGGCAGCGCGCATCTCTGCCTCCAGTCTGACGGCGCAGCACGACGTCGGCGTTGGTGCTGACTGAATTAGTGTTTGTGTTCCAGTATGAGGTTCCAAATGTGCCTAAAATATTTATCTATGTCTTTGTCTCATTCATAGTTCACTGAACAAGTGAGTTAACATTTGGGCTAATCTTCAGTGCTTTTGTGGTCACAAATAGCATTGTACATGGAAATGAGTAACACGCCATAACATTTAAAATGGTTTGTTTTATGAATTTGTTCTATGTTGCCATATACCGTTTATGGTATTCTAATGTATTGTCACTTTTGTTTAAAAATTTTTACACATAATGGCATCAGATAGGCTGTCGAAACACCCAGAGAGCAGAGATGAGATCACGTGAAAACAGGTTTTAATGCAGCCAGACAACAGGTTATAATGACAGAACAAGAAAACATGACGTGTCACAGGTTTAACATGAGAATAAAAACAGCCAGACAACAAGTTTTGAGGACAAAGTGACTACACCATATTTTTGGCACATTCTGAACCCCATAGAAGAAGAAGAAAGAAGAAAAGATCTTTTCTATAGCACATTTCAAGATAAAAATCACGAGGCGCTTCACAAAAACAAAAAATGTAAAATATAAAAAAGAATTTAGAAAATGATTAAAAATATATTTAAAATGAGCAAAAAGTAGACAATTGTGATTAAAAAATGTAAAGAAAGAGAAAGTGAATAGGAAAGGGGGAAATCAGTGGATCCTGAGGAAGGTGGAATAGGTTGGGAGAGCAGAACAAGGAGAGGGTGATGAAGGTCACACCAAAACCATTTTGAACAAGTGAGTCTTCAGCTGCTTTTTAAAGGAGACCACTGAGTCCACTGATCTCAGGCTCAGGGGGAGAGAGTTCCAGAGTCTGGGGGCCACAGCAGCAAATGATCTGTCACCTTTGGTCTTTAGCCTGGTGTGCTGCAAAGGACATGGTCCTTCTCAGTGAGACCAAATAATGCAGAAAAACCCTCAAACTCAGCTTCATCGGGCTAGTTGCTAAAGTCTGCATGTCCTGAGTTGTAACAATAAAAAAAGGGTTTTTAATCAATAATTAACCGGTTTAGACGGTACTCTGATGCATCCGCGTGCATGAGAGCAACCAATCTAGTAGATGTTTATCTGAGTTCTTGATGCATTAGTAGAATATTTGACCAAAAACTTGAATAATGCAACCTTTCACAGCCACCGATGCTTTATGCGTGCACACGAGCATGCACGTGTGCGCCACTTTTAATGTCAACTCAAGACTCCTGATGTTGCACACCGTCCCGAGTGTAGAGATGTTTTCTGAATAATAGAGTTGGTTAAAGGAAAACTGAGTAGTTTGAATAGTTTATTGATTTAAATCTGTTTGTTTATTACAAACCACTTCTGCTTGCTTTAAAAAGCCAAAGGTGACAAACGTTTTTCTCGTGAGGAACTATCATAACCTCGTGTTAGATGTTAGAAAACCCCGGTGGAGACGATGTATGTCAAAATGAAACTCTTCTTCTGCATTTTAAACCCTGTGGAGTTCCCAATGAGCAGCTGGAGGACTCATCGTTCTGTAAGACTCTTATTTCTGCAGTTTATCGGTAAAATAGCATCAGGAAGCTCAAGATTCGTCTTGTTTTTATATTGAATATAGACTTCTTCTAGACCTTTTGGCTGAAAGTCAAAAAATACAAATAAAACGAAATATTTTCTGCCTTTGTGTTTTCTGCAGATAGTAAAATGATTCAGATTCGGCATCCATTAGTTACCAAAAAATGAACAAAAATAAAACTGTTAAATAGTAAATCTAACCTATTAAACAGCATTTGTTTTAATGTCCTGTTTTCAGAAAAGCGAATATAAAGAAATTCTGTCATTTATTCCTATTTTGATCCCAAACAAAGACTGCATTCCCTTTTTTCTTTACTTTGGAAGACGAGGAGTGAATTGTGAATGTTATAATCACACAGAAAGCTCCTGCCAAAATATGTATTTTAATTTAAACCAGATTCTTTGTTTAGGAGTTCCAGGCTGAATGTGAGTTCAGAATAAAACAACTCAAGCGTCTCCTCCTGGTCTCAGAGTTTAGATTCGTGCCTGAAAGCTAACTCTGACGCAGGACGTTTGGTTTTTCATTTGTTGGCATTTTTGGATTGAAACTTGTAAAATAAAGTTTGCTCTCATCACTTTGGTCAGCTGACTCACACTTTGCTTTCAAACTCAGCTCCCGAAACCTAAATGCTCTGATGTTCAGCCTGTGTGCTACTGTGCTTTTCAGCCACCAAAAATGTAAGATTTGTGCCAGTGTGTGTGTGTGTGTGTGTGTGTGTGTGTGTGTGTGTGTGTGTGTGTGTGTGTGTGTGTGTGTGTGTGTGTGTGTGTGTGTGTGTGTGTGTGTGTGTGTGTGTGTGTGTGTGTGTGTGTGTGTGTGTGTGTGTGTGTGTGTGTGTGTGTGTGTGTGTGTGTGTGTGTGTGTGTGTGTGTGTGTGTGTGTGAGAGAGAGAGAGAGAGAGAGAGAGATGCCTCATTTCTATCCAGCACAGTGTGTAACAGCCAACCATTGGCTCCTGCAGCCTGAAGGCTTTCAGACTCCACAAAGCAGACTTTGTCACAGTTTGAGGCTTCGTCCTGCAGCTGGGGGGCAGTAAGCAATAGCACCCTCATCAGGCAGGAGCTGTACCAGCAGGACTAAGATTTTTATCCATCCAAGTGTTACGACAACGCTCTGTCTCTGAGGGGGTGCAGGAAAAAATACATCTCACTAGAATACTTTTGCTGATGAAATTTTATGATGAAATTCTGTTTTTGAATTTTTGAGGATGACATTTTGCTTTTAAGGTAAACAAAATTCAAATCCATAATGTCACAGAATAAAATTTCAACGTAATAAAATGAAATGATGAGACTGTATTTATTCCATAGTCTGTTATCTTAAGAGCTGGATTATGGAGAAAAATAAAAACAAAACAAAAATAAATCTGCAATAATGTCTCATTAATATGGATGCATGGCTAATCTTCATCAAAATCAGTATCAGCCGATGTTAGTCATTTTTGATGTTAGTCAGTATCTGTCCAATAAGTAAAACTGGGCCGATATTAACACCTTGTGTATCAGTTTCAGAGGGTGAGGGGGTGATGTGTATTTGTTAAGTCCTGTGACGGTGATGGTAATCATCTCAGATGCATGCGTGTGTGTGTGTGTGTGTGTGTGTGTGTGTAACATACTGCAAATTCCACTTTATTGAAATAAAGCAAAACATTCAAAAATCCAGCTTGCATAATTTCAGACTATAAAAATTTGCTGATTTCAGAAACATAAATCGGCATCGGCAAATGTCGGTTGTCGGCCATTACAGTGATATTAATTTAGATATCGTATCGGCCCAAAAAAATTCATATTGTTGCATCCCTACTTATTAATATTGTGGAGTATTTCAGTAGAAGAATCTCTAAAATGTTATGAATATTGAATAAAAAGTTGGTACCACAGAGCTTTCATCACCGTTTGACAAAGTTAAAAATGTAAATGCTCAGTTTGGTAGTCAAACGCTGTCACCGAAGCATGCCAGGACACATGCTGATAACTTATCGGATTCCTTTCTCCTTTTGTTTAAGGAGTGTTCTCTGATAGACATGTCGTTGCGTGTTTGCATCGAGTCACAGCTCATTCCCGCGTGACAACTAGACATTCTTCAGCGCTGTGTGCAGATTTGTGTGCCACAAGGATAGATTGTTCTCTAAATCTGCAAACGCGTCACGCTGCAGGATTCTGGCATGTGTACCCGAAGTTGTCAAATCGCCACATTGCTCCTTAACCTGAGCATCAGTCCTGAAAAATTCCAAATGCTTGAGTGTGAATGGTCTTGTGGTTGTGAACGTGGGACAAAGTTAGCTGGATTGGGTCAGGTTCAGTTTAATTAGACTCTAATGTTAGAGTGAAAATATGTTTGAGTAATTTACAGTTAAAATAACAGATTCCCACTTTAGCCTGTGGGAGGCAACTGGAGTTCCTGTAAAAACCAGCACATTTATCAGGAGAACATGCTGACCCCTGCAGAAAGGCTGCAGCCGGGATCCCTGCAGCCTTTTTCCTGTGAGACAACGCTACCACCATGCAGACCCATGCAATAGCTGGAGTAGTAGATTAAGGAAGTATGAAGGAAAGTTTCCACATTTTCAGAGCCACATCTTGACCAAAATCTTGTTGACTAGTTAGAAACATCATGAGATGCCGTTTCCTGAGTCCAGTCTGTAGTCTAACTTCTTGTTTTGCCCTGCAGTGTTTCCGGTGTGGCGGGGCATCGGGGCCGGCAGCAGTATCCGGTGGACCCAGGGCTGGGAGCGCTACTTAAAATGGGAGCTGGCCAGTCGGGAGCAAGGGATCCGAATCCCCATTTTGGACTACCCAGTCTGGTTGATCCTCTGCCGCCAGGGCCACACCCGGCTCAGGGAGGTGTGTCAGAGAGGGAGGGGCGTCATCAGACTGCCTACAGTCAAACTTTCCCGACTCTTTGACATCAATGAGGTTCCCAAGGTAAGATGAAGCAGGAACACCCTACTGGACCGTCTACAAACACACCCGCTCATTTAATATTTAATGTGAAAATTTTCTGCTTGAAACTCAAATCTGAAATCTCTGAAAAATAAATAAATGTATATACACATACATACATACACATACACACACACACACACACACACACACACACACACACACACACACACACACACACACACACACACACACACACACACACACACACACACACACACACACACACACACACACACACACACACACACACACACACACACATATGTATATATGTATATGTATATATATATATATATATATATATATATATATATATGTATGTATGTATGTATGTATATATATATATATATATGTATGTATATATATGTGTGTGTATATATGTGTGTGTACATATATGTATATAGTCTGTCCTCTGTACAGCTCACCTTACAAATCCATCATAACACAAGATAAAAGAAAAGACAAAAAGCAACAACAAAATAACAAATTATTCATGTTCAATCATTTCTATATTAATTTGTTATTCTATAGTTCTCAAATACTTTTTCTTTCAATAGTTTGTTAATAAAATTAACTCATCCGCAGCCAGCCGTTTCCTGGTCGGTAAAGCCCTTCGCTGCCAGCATTTCTCACCGTTTTTACTGTTTTTTTAAGAGTCACAGAACATTGCGCGCTAGGATGATGTTGACACCAAAACAACCAAAACAAAGCGGAGACTCACCTCTTACATCAGGAAGAATCCACTCGTATCTAGCGTAATTCGTTCTTTCATAATACGTTGTTGAATTGTGATCGGCAGAAGCTTTTACGGTTCGCGCCTCACTTTTTTTACAGCAGCAGCCCAAAACGATCTCCTAACACTGCTGATGTCTGATGTCTGCTGATTACGTGACATGTGACGTACGCAGATGAAGATCGGCTTTAGAGGTGAGATGTTTGTTCTCATGCTGCGGGGGCTCGTTCCGATGCCCACACAGTAAAAAAAAATGCTAATGACGACTTTAATTGTCATTGGCAACAAATTATTTAAAATACAAGATTTCAGCTCATCACTGAGACTGTTCCATAGCTTAACTCCCAAAAATGACACACATCTGTGGTTGACATTAGTTCTCTTAGAAAAATATCCATCCCTCAGATTTTTTTCTCTTAACACATCAAATCCTGAATGCATGAGGGGAGTCTGTTGGTCTTACCTCGAAAGAAGTTTTCCAATTTTTTAATATAAACTATATCTTTAAATTTTAATATACGAGAGATTGCTGGTTGGTGCACTTTAGGGAGTTTTGTGTATTACTATTAAAACATTTTTTCTGAATCTTCACAATTGGGTCAATGTTAGTTCTACATGTATTTCCCCATACCTCAACACAATACATCATAAACAGAATTATTAGGGTAAAATACAATAAACACATTTTGTTAAAAAAAACACTTGTTTGGTTAATAATTCCAAGTTACCCAGAGCTGAGGGGAGCAGACAACGGCAGGTCTTACTCATTAACATTTCCTGATATTTGGACATCTCGCCTCAGATTAGCTAATAGCAACACGACTCTACCGCTGACTTAGTTTGCTCTGCAACACTGGTGTTTTATCTCCAAAAGCTTGAAGGAGTTTTGCCGTGTGGTGAAGTAACTAATGCTAATGGTTAGCTACTAGCCAAGACATTCTCAGCTGTTTCCTGGATGCTGAACGTTTTGTTCGTGTCCCAGAGTCGAAGGGACACCATCATTACAAGTAGGATCGCTTTGCTACTGTGCCACATTGGTGAGAGCGGGGGTGTCGGTGTGCGAGCAGATCGTTTCACTGCCGTGCATTGTTTGTTACAGAGGGGGGTGGGAGGTGGGCGCTTGACCTGGTGGGGGTCCAAAAAAAAATCTGGTGGCCCGCCAGGCTTATAAAGTGCTGGGGAAACCCTGATTTACCTTTCCACACCAAGAAAAAAAAAAACAATATAACAATTTCATTTTTGCATTTTTTTAAATGAAGCAACACATTTTATAATATTTTTTCATGCAGTTAACTGCTTGTTTTATTATGATACAGAGGCTTAAATATGCTGTATGCACCAGTTAGAGGTAAAGAAGCTCCCCTTCAACCCCAGAAAACAGAACAACGCTGCTGCTAGTTCTTATGGTGCTACTTTCCTCATCTCTTCTTCGATCTTTTCCCTTCAGCCGCCTCTTTAGTATGGTTGCATTTCTGACTAATCGTGTGAAGTTATGTAAGAAGTTATGTAAGAATGGCAGAACTGTCATTCAAAACATCAAAAGGTATGTTTTGACAGCAGACGGTCAGGAAATGATTCTCTATCTGAGCCTCCTGGAGTTCTGTTCCAGATTTGTTGCCTCTATTGTTGACCGACTCTGGAATTTTGTGTATTAACGCTTTATGAGATCCTCCCGGTTTCCTAAGAAGTTCCTATTGCAGCAGTGCTTCCTGTAAGTGGTGGTTAAGGTTTTGTTTAGTTTCTGTTGATGCCTTCGGTCCTCCTGCAGCGTTTTTATGACATTGGGTTCTTCACCAGTCTAGTGGATATTTGGATTTTTATACAACAGTTCCAACAAGTGTAAATTTGTCTTTAACTGTCTGACATTAAAAAGAGTAAAATCTCTTTAGCCATCTTTCACTGGCAGTAATAGAAGTCATAAGCAAGTGAAGTCACACAGAAAACGCCATCACCACATTCGTCCCTGTTTTATTACCTCCAAGCTGTGAACTTGTGCAAACTTCCATGTGCTCCTAAATGTTTTGCTGTGTTTGCACCCAGCAGATGAGTCATGTTAGGGATAACCTTCACAGTTCAGCAGGGAGGGAATGCGTCGTCTGATTGTGGCTGAGAGACGTGTCAACAGGAGCCGGAGTCATGCAGCTCGAGCAACTGTGCCGGCCGGCATCCACTCTGCTGGGGTGACCCTGAATGCCTCCTAGTGCCGTTTTAGTTTGTTAGATTTTCATATTTTTTCTAGGAATTCTAAAGAAATAATTTTAAGAATGAAATTCCTTGAGATAAGTTTTTCTCTGGTTAGGGTTTGGGTTAACCCTAACTCTTATATTTAACAAAACTAACAAAAAAAATCTTTGAACTCTACTTTGAGTCCCAGACGGTGTCTGTTTGAACTTGATGTTGATAATTTTTCCCTTTTACTAAATGTTTATCTTCCCTCTGAGGAATGTTGGATTCAGACTGACACTTTTTAAACCAAAACACTTTGAGTGAAACAGTCAGAAACATTTAGTGTGACAGGAGTGTTAAAGTCAGCTCATGTGACCTCTCAGTGCCGCTGTCGTAGTTCAAAACCGCTGGTAATAAAATAAAGGTTTGGTCTGTTAGTTTTAGACTGTTTATCAGTGTTTAACCAGACTTTAGATTGTTAAAGTGATGGTGGCACAGGAGTTAAGTGCTCGCCCCGTAATCGGAAGGTTGCAGGTTCAAGCCCCGCTCAGTTTGCTGCTGTCGTTGTGTCCTTGGGCAAGACACTTAACCCACGTTGCCTGCTGGTGGTGGTCGGAGGGACCGGTGGCGCCAGTGCTCGGCAGCCTCGCCTCTGTCAGTGCGCCCCAGGGCAGCTGTGGCTACATCGTAGCTCATCCCCACCAGTGTGTGAATGTGTGTGTGAATGGGTGAATGACTGATTGTGTTGTAAAGCGCCTTGGGGGGTTCCAGGACTCTAGAAGGCGCTATATCAAATACAGGTGCAGAATATTAGTTTTTTATTTTATTTTTACCTTTCCTTAAGTCAAGCACGCGCACACACGCACACACACACAGACACACACACACACACACACACTGAAACTAAAAGCAAAGATGAACTGTGTCCTCAGGTATTCAGAGAGGACAGCATCATCTCTGGATATCGTCACCCTCAGAGCTCCGCGCTGGACTGCATCCTCAGCAGCTTCCACATGAATAACGAAACCATCAACATCTGGACCCACTTCCTGCCAACATGGTGGGTGAAAAATCACCAATTGTCCGTTACTTTAATCAGCTTTTTTGTTCACAGGGATGTTGAATTGGAGTTTTAAACACAGGTGTACCCTAAAGACCAAGTTCACTGGGAAACAGTTTTTTTTTCTGGTTATTTTGAAAGCATGGTCTGTCACTCTGAGTTTCACATGCATGCTGAGCTTGAATGTACCCCTATTTCCTCCACAGTAACAATAGACGGGGAAAGGTTTGGGTCAGAAAAACCACTCAGATCTGCGTCACTCTGAAAAGTAGCATTCATGGACAAAACAAACAAAATCAGTGGTAGAGTCACGTTACTGTTAGCCAATCAGAGGCAAGATGTCCAGGTATCAGGAAATAATAATGAGTAAGACTAAATCCTCCTGTTGTCTGCTCCCCTCAGCTCTGGCTAAATTCTACTCCCTGAAACAGGAGCACTGGAGCTTTTTCCCACAGAGATCGACTCACAAGGCATTCATTTACACTACCTTGGTCTTGGAGAGCCACTATCAAGCATGTTTTAGAAGTTACCCTTCTTCAACACACCTGGTTTTAATCTATAGAGCCCGATGAGCTGCTGAACAAGTGAATCAACTGTGTTGAAGCAGGAAAAAACTAAATCATGCTGGATTGTGGCTCTCCAGGACCAAGGTTCCCTACCCCTGCACTACAGACCACTGCTAATGTATTGTAAAAGTGAGTGAACTTGGTCTTTAACCTGAAGTTGTCAACATTATGAGACAGGATCCATAAATCTGGACAGACACAAGCTTTCTGTGTTATTGAAAACTTCTGTTTCAGGTATTTTTTGTGGCGTTTCTGCGCTCTCTGCACCACCATGAACTTCCTGAACGACAGCTACGCCTGGCCCCTGCTGGTGTACATGCTGCTCATCTGTATTTACCCCTTCACCTCCAGCTGTGCACACACCTTCAGCACCATGTCCCCAGAATCCCGCCACATCTGCTACTTCTTTGACTACGGAGCCCTCAGCCTCTATAGCCTCGGTAGGACACCACTCTGATGGATTTCAATCACAGCATTCATACATCTAGTATCTTGCTGGGTTTCAACTGATAGCAACTTGTTGGAGTCAAAAAAAAAAAGCAAATTCTTCATTTAATTTTTGAAAATATTAAAGGAGTCATCACCTGTTACTACCGTGGGTATCTACATCATATTATAGTCTTTCAGGCCATACAAATAATTTTTATTGGAAAAATAAATGAAAAAGTGCTTTTCGGACACTTTTTAGTAAAGGACGTGTTTTCTCGCAAGAACACACGCGGCATTTCGGCTGTGCCGGGCACGTCATTTGGAGTCGTAGGATGTCCAAGGAAGATCCTGTCTTTCTCGCCTCTGATTGGCTAGAAGGGCTCTACTACGATTGACTATTTGATTTCGCAGCACACCGGAGTCGTCCCTTGCAAAGTGCAGACTGCTCTCCTGCCACCGCCACCCACAGAAAGCTGATTTGGGGAGTTTTGTAAAGAAACTGAACTTAGCATGACGAGAAAGATGGGACCTTCCTTGGACATTCTACGATTCCAAATGGCATGGTTGAAAAATAGTTCCAAAATGAAAGTCGAGCCAACGTCTTTTCTGGCCGTGGTATACGGCTATCGGTATCGGTAAAAGTTAACCAATACCAGGAACTGATACCAATGCAGTTGCCTGAAAGTGGATTCACTGTAACTTGGCATTTCTGTTCACCTAATATTTTAGTTTTGTGATCATTTCTATTAATATATTTTGTTTTTTTTTAATCTACCTCACAGTCTTTTCTTGTTGAAAACAGAGAAGAAAATAAAACCTGTTTTCCAATTCATTGCATTTTTTTGTGTGGCCGAAGTATTGGTAATTGGCGAGTACTCAGATCCGAGTATCTGTATCGTATCGGTTTGGGGAAAAAAGTTGTGTCGGTGCATCCCTAGTTTCTGATTTACATATCAGAGTAAACATGATGATGTTCTGCATCAGTTAGTAGAAATATGGATGAATATGATTACCTGCTGATGAAACAAAAATCAGTTTTGTTAAAAAAAAGGTTGTTCCCACCTCCATGCTTCCCTTTCCTGTTTGCATTTTAATTAGCTATAAAGATTATTTGTGCAGAAATGTGAACAGATTTGAGCACATTTTGCACTTCCTTACAAAATGCCACATTTTCTTTATACATCTTATTCTACTTTCTGATTTTATTTTCCAAACTGTAAAATTTGCAACTTAGTCTGCAAAGAGAAAAGTAATCTGGAAGAAATAATGTTTTCATATACAGACACTAAATAAACAGAATTTGTTATGGAATTAAACATTTTTTATACATTGGCACCCCCTTGTGGCATTGAGAAGAAAAACAAAGATTAGAGGCCATTTAAATATTTTTATCTCTGATGTTTTGATTATTAAATTTTTTTATAACTAAGTAGAGATGAAAATTTCAGTTGTCTTTTGAGAGAAAAATAATATAAAACTATTTTATACTCATTAACTGATCAGAAAGCCCCTGGCTGCCAGTGTTTTTGAGCATTTATATGATCATGTAAACATCAATGCAACAAAAGGAGTAGACTCACTTCTTACATCAGGACGAATCCTTTGTGACCTGCAGAAGCTTTTCAGTTTTTCGCTTCGCTTTTTTCAGAGCTGCGTCCCAAAATGATCTCACAATTCACGGATTTTCTGCTTCATGATCATGTGACGTGTGACACACGGGTGAAGATCAGCTTTGCACGACTTTAGTCGCCAATGGCAGTGAATGAGTTAAAACTTGTGAGGGTATCATAAATTATTTTGCTGAATTAGTGGTTAAATAATAATAAATAGAAAATATTTCTTATGGAATTTAATCAGTAGATGAATGACTAATGGAAGTTTCCCCTTTTACTTTTTATATGCTATATATGTATTTAATAGATAACACCTCCTCCCTTAAGTCAGTTATCTTCTTCTGCTTGTAAAATTAAAAGCGTTAATGACCATCATAAATTTATGCAGAAAGCTGAACTAAAAAGCTGGATTTAAATGATTAAAATATAATCAGTACTCAATGCAAAAAACAACAACAACAACAACGGATGCCTTAACTAAAGGAAATTACCTTGTTGGCACTTTAGGCTCTTATTTACCACCAGATTGTCACAGAATTAGTTCCCATTTCAGTAAACTGAATAACTGAAGATATTTTAGCAGGTAAATGGGGTTTTAGCATCAATAGACTGTACACAGCATAAGAATGTGACCATTTAATGTCATCTTAAATCATAACAGATAAAATAAGTGAAATATAACCAGATGCAGACATGCTGACGACTGTTAGTTGGTGTTTGCGTGCAGGTTGTGCCATCAGCTATGGATACTACGTGATGCCAGACTGCTGGTTGAACACTTGGCTCCATCAGTACTTTGTTCTTATTGCCATTGGGAACACTTTGTTCTGCACCAGCATGTCTTGTTATTCCAGGTAAGAAACTCCTCAATCCTCCCAATAAAAAACCAGCTCTCCCACTTTGTGCAGCTGTAGAGACACGGGAGAGGGCTGTGGAGTTCAAACTGTTGACATTTGTGTAAGACTTTAAAAAAAGGGGAATCAGAAACAGGAAATTTATTTTTTTGTTTTTTTCTGCACAGATTCGTAGAGCTGCAGTTCCCCAAGAGAAGTAAAGCCCTTCGAACGGGCGCGTTTGTCGTCCCGTTCATATTTGACACAGTTCCTTTGTTTTACAGGGTGAGTCCTCATAAAGACACCTTTCTTGTTGGTTTTATTAATTTTAAATTCTTGATTATGTAATGTGTTCAGACCTGATTAGAGTCTATTAACTCAAGAATCTGGCTTACTGTTCTAATCTAACAAAACTATTTGGTGCCATTGATTAACTTCAGAGAGGATTGGTTTGTTTTATGTAAGAAGGCTTTTCTGAATTAAATGACAGGTAAATAGTTTTTTTTAACGTGTGTGTGTTTAGATACTTCTGTGTTTTTGGGGAGGCTGCAGCTCCAGCGACGCCCTGTCCAACCACTGCTACCACCTTTTTTTCGCCTTTCTCACTGGTTTCCTGTTTACCGCCCACCTACCGGAGAGGCTGGCCCCTGGGCGTTTCGACTACATCGGTATGTCCCATCAGGTCGTGTTTTAATGCTGGCTGCACAGAAAAGATGCCCCAAAACTGTTTCTGATGTGCAGTTGCTGTTCATATTTATTCTTTTACCTAGTGGCATCATCTAGTGGCTGATAAGCGTATCACATCATGGCCAACTTTCATTTCAGTATTTAAGGCCGAAACAACGCCTCTCATTCATGAACGTGCTCCTCTAGCCAACAAAACTGAGCTAAAACACATTGTTTTACCATTATTACTATCATGTTATGTTGTGTTTTCATATATTTAGATTTTAAAGACTTGTTCATGAGAAAGTTGCCAACTCTGCATTAACTGAGGTATTTCCTTAAACACTCGAGCCCGCTCTGTGATTAACGTCTGTGTGTAAGCAGTAGTCTAACGCTATGCTTTCGTTCTTTTTTAAACACAGAAACAGTTTTGTTTACCTGTTTGTAGCTACGGTTTCGCCGACAGCTGCCGGCTTCTTCAGGCTGCCGGCTTCTTCAGGCTGACGCCAGCCTGAAGAAGCCGGCAGCTGTCAGCGAAACCGTAGCTACAAACAGGTAAACAAAACTGTTTCTGTGTTTAAAAAAGAACGAAAGCATGGATTTACAAAGACACAGCAAGAACACACCTAAGTAGTCTTAACGCTATTGGTTAGTGCTGACCGGCATTCAGTTCATAACAAAAAACAAGAAGAAGATGTATTTCCCACTTCATATTACAGTATTTAAGATAATAACTTTTATGGATTTCTGAAAAAATCTTACATAATTCCTGAAGGGGAAAATCTCAGCAGCTTTAATGAGACAATGTGTAGTTTTTACCATTAATCTCTGGAAATATCCATCACAATGTTGTTGAAAATTAATTAAATGACACCCTGTTGTTGAAAAATATTGGCGGCTTCGTAACATATAACCATAAAAATCAGGTCTAAAATACATGGGAGCGGGTGTAAGTCTCTGGGCGACGCCATGTTTGATGCCATGTTTCCTTTTACGGGAGCCCATGAGGACAAAATGCTTTTACTGATTTGTAACAAACAGTTACAAAACTTTCATCATTCTTAAAAGTTTCTGTTTTACACATTTACCTCTTCACTTGTTACCAGTGAGGAGCTAAAGTTGACTCTCCCCAGGGCTTTTTGACCCTAATGGGCATCCATTGGTAAGGTCTTTCTCCAGTACAAAAATACAGCTTGTTTGCAACGATTTAGGTATCTACTGCCCCCTATCGCCAGGAAAAATGCACACCGTCACTTTAACACTTCAAAGCCTGATAAAATAACAAATGGAAATTATTTTTTCTAAAAATGTATCTATTTATAGGCTAATGGTGATAAAATGATTATGAAGTTATTTGAAACATTTTGCATTAAATCACACATTGGATTCATGGGGGAGTTTTAAAAAAGTGTAACGTCTGCAAAGATTTTCTACTTCGCAGGACCTCGCTACCAAGGACTATCGGTGCCACGTTGGTTAGGAACAAAAGGAAACTGAGTTTGTGTTGAGGAAAAAATGTTGGAAAAATGGTTACATTGTGACAAAAACTCTAGGGTTATTCATTGATTAATGCTCTTACACTTAGAGCAGGCCCTAATAATACCTAAGTAATTTTCTGTTGATAACCAGATCAGAACATTCCAGTCTTTTACACAGTGCTGTAATCAAACAGGATTTTAATACTCCATAAGTTACTAAATCAGCATTTCAAACAAAATAAACGTATAATTAATGAGAAATTTTATGTTAAGTCTGGTGAGGTTTCATCACTCGACAATAAAACAGTCACTTAAACAGAAAAGCTGTGAAATGTTTTACTTCTTTCATATTTTCATTGCATTAAACCTAGAGAAATAAAGAAAAGTGTTTCAGATGATTTCAGGGATATTGTTTTCATACAGGAGATCTTTTTTCATTAGGGTGGTCCTGCTGAACTTTTGGCATGAAATCAATCATTCCAACATCAAACAGCCTTTCGATCCAAACTTTCAGACTTCTGTCCTACCAGTTTGTTGTCTTTGCTCCTGTTTTCACTAAGCTTTCTCCAAACCCAAGAGAGTCACGCACGAAGCAGTGTTGCTTTTGGCGGCCATCTTTGTTTTAAAAGAAAATGCGTTTTTAGTTTTTGTTAGTTTTAGGAAAATTAAACTAAAAATGTTTTAGTCAACAAAGATTTTGGTTTATAGTTTTGCAAGCAAGTAAAATGGAGAATTAGTCTTTAACAAACTCATTTGCATAAATAACTCAAGTTCTGCACTTGAGCACAAAAAGGGAAGTAAATACATTCTCACTCGGGTTGTGTCCTGTATCTGCATCTGCAGCGGCGATTAAATGACGATAAACATTTAGATGACTCGCTGTTAGGAACCAAGGAGCAGAGAAAATAAATAACACACTGAAATATTCATCTTAAACATGCACAGATTAAATGTGCTAAAAACAGTGTTTTCTTTCACTTTTCTGCCTAAAAGCATCAGACTTTCAGGAAACACACAAATACAATACGTGTAAATAATATGAATATATTCAAAAGTAGCCTCATGATCGCTGTTTACTTCCTCAAGCGGTTTTGTTGAGTCATGCGCGTTCTCGCAGCAGAGGATCGGGACGTGAGAGGCCCAGTCCCAATAATCGCATACCACCCTACTGTCCTCATGGAAAGCATCTTTCCAACAGCGAATCTTCGTATAGTAATCTGCCCAGCCCCAAAAAAGTCGCCACCGTAAAAAATGTCACACTCTAATATTTCATTGGACCGCCTTTAGCTTTGATTACAGCACACATTCGCTGTGGCGCTGTTTCAATACGCTTCTGCAGTGTCACAAGATTTATTTCCATCCAGTGTTGCATGTTGGTGGGAGAGTCTGACCGCTGCACAAAGCCTTCTCTAGCACATCCCAAAGATTCTCAATGGTGTTAAGGTCTGGACTCTGTGGGGGCCAATCCATGTGTGAAAATGATGTCTCATGCTCCCTGAACCACTCTTTCACTATTTGAGCCCGATGAATCCTGACATTGTCATCTTGGAATACGCCCGTGCCATCAGGAAAGATGGAATAACCTGGTCATTCAGTATATTCAGGTGGTCAGCTGACCTTGTTCTTGGAGCACATCCTGTTGCCGAACCTAGACCTGACCAACTGCAGCAACCCCAGATCATAGCCCTGCCCCCACAGGCTTGTACAGTAGGCACTAGGCATGATGGGTGCATCACTTCATCTGCCTCTTTTCTTACCCTGATGCACCATCACTCTGGGACAGGGCCAGTCTGGACTCATCAGACCAGTTTTAATGATGCTTTGGGCAGTTCTTAACCCAGTTTTAGTCGTTTCTGCAATCTCCTTAGATGTTTCCTCAGCTTGATGCATGCCAATGATCTGACCCTTCTCACACAGACCAACATCTTTTCCACGACCACCAGACGTGTCTTTCCGTGAGATTGTTTAAGAAATGAGAAGCAAGTCATTGCACCAGTTGGGGTTAAATAACTTGTTGCAGCTGAAAAATGCAGTAATTATCCCATAGGAGGCTTGTACCTGTTTGCTGAGTTAAATCCAGGTGGAGACTTTTTTTGGGATGGACTGTGTATGTGTACAATAATAAATACTCAATGTTTTGATAATTATACTAGAAAATACTTTTACTTTTTACTTTTCATGTTCAACCTGCAAGAAGTCAGAGTGACCGATTATAATCAGAAATAATCACTAGGGGTTTTCAGTGTTCCACTACTTATCCATTAGATATTTATGCATCTACTATAAGCAGAACTCAGACATTTCTCATTTTCATCCTTCATCTCAAACCTTTTATTAAAAACAACTTTCACCTCATAAAAAATGTTTCTGTTGTTGAGGACTTGCAGAATCTAGGATTGTTTTGGTCGTTTTTATAAGTTAATTTCCTTCTATCTTAAAAAGGAACTAGAAAGGAGACCTCAAATTCTTTAATTCGGGCCTTTTTGGTTCTCCTTTACATTTCATTAAAAAAATGCTCATGATGAATCCTGTTTTTCCTCTCTTTAGGCCATAGCCATCAGCTCTTTCACGTCAGCGCCGTGGTGGGAACCCACTTCCAGATGGAAGGCATCATAGCGGACATGTTGTCGCGGAGGGCGTGGCTCCAGACCCACGGGCTGATGCCATCCTTCTTTGGGACCATCGGGGCACTCGTCGTCAGCCTCGCTCTCAACTTGGGCCTCATCGGCCTTTTCAGCGTGCCGCTGCTACCGAACGCTCTCCAAGCCTCAGGCCAGCAGCAGACCTCAACTTGCGACAGCAAGGAGCAGTAAGGGAGCACCCCCCCAAAAAATCACTTTCCAAAGGAAAGGTTTTCTGTTTGTCAGCTCGAAGTAGTGCTGGTTTAACAATTGTTCTCATTCGGAAGAGTTTGTATTCCATTTTCTAACATTGTTCCGCCGCTCCGGGGTTTGTGTGAAAACTCGGAGGCTGAGGACCCAGACAGGTTAGCTACGTTTTTACGTTTGGGTTGAAGGAAGCTTCCTGTCATGAAGCTAAAACCTCAGACTATTGATGATTTGTTCTAAAGTCTTTCTTCCTAACTGGACTCACTGGTCGGTCGTTGGAAAGCAGCACAGACAAATATCACCCAGCTCCACGTAAAATAATGCAGATTGGATTGGCAGCTCTTAAACATCCGCCTATTGATTCCACTCCGCGCTGACAGGAATTGATTTTCAGAACCGTATATTTTTTCTTTCTTTTTTTTTTGTCTGATTGCCTGCCTCATTATGAGCCACACAATCCGCCCTCAACAGGGGAGTGGAAGAAAACGTTAGTGAGGCGGTGATTAAAAGACAGGTACCACTTTTATAACCTTAAGTTCCCATGGCAACGGTGGAGCGGCCAGGAAACTCGTTTTGAACATGAGAATCTCAACAGGCAGGAAAATTAAAGCAGAACTGGAGAAATTGGATTTTATAGACTTTTCTTTTTTTATCGGTTATACATTGGTGAGATGGGAAGAGAAGGAAAACTGGGAATAATTTAATCATAATTTAGGGTCCTGTTAACATTTATGATGTTTTTGACTCATTTACATCCATACTTTTTTGTCTTGTGTGAACTTTGTTCACATTAACCATCGGACGAGTAGCTGTATTTATCATATTTTTTATTTATTGCTCATTTTAGGTGAAGAGAAGGCGAGTTTTATATATATATATATATATATATATATATATATATATATATATATATATATATAAAATTTTTGTATTTTATGAGACATAACCACTTAACTGCACAAAACTTCCATCTTCTAAGCTATTTTTACCTAATTGTGTTCTGTAAAACAAGTAAAAATGGCAAATATATTAAACATTCTCAAGTATTTCTATAGCAAAAACCCTTAATACTATAATAAATACAGCAAAATAGTTCATTTCTGCAAAAACCTATAAAATAAACAATAATCTACTTATTTTGAGACATTCTTAGAAACAAAAAGAAGTTAATTAGACATCAAATCTCAGACTAACTGGAACTGGAGAATTAATAGCAGCGTGTTGTAGCTGAAAGTTTCTAAAATCTTGGTTTTACTCGACAAGCAGGTTGGCATTCGTGTTAAACATACAAGCACTGTTTTCCTCCTGGAACACTAGCTTACTTGTGCACGAGCAGCTAACACACACACACACACACACACACACGCACACTAATCTGGTTGGTCGAGCCATTAAATCTGAGGGAAAAAGTACGTGAAAGAAAGGAAATGAGGAGTGTTTCAGGTCTGAGGCGGATGCTGAAGTGTTGGACTAATAATGAATGAACAACACACACACACACACACACACACACACACACACACACACACACACACACACACACACACACACACACACACACACACACACACACTTTTGAATTCTTATTGTTTTCTGCGTACAAACCAGAAGTAGCTTTATCCTTCAGAAGAGCATCTCTACCATCAGCTGTTATCCTCTCCATCCAAGCATTCCTCAGTTTGACCCTGCTGATTAATGGAATTCCAGCATTCCTGATGTATTTCTGGGGGACACAGCTTTTAGCATAATTTTTTTGTTGCTGCCGTTTATTCTTTCCTCCCTTGTTTGCAGCGGTTTGACAGCTCTGTCGTACCGATCTAAAATCCTCCAAACTGCATTATTTTTGACCCGAACATCAAACCTGGTAAAGCTCTTCAGACCTGGCGTCTGTTACAGAAAAACTCCTGGATTCTCAGAGAAACTCACCTTTTTGCAATAATAATATTATCATTGTTCTAGTTTTTTTTTATTGTATTGGAGGATGTCTAATAAAGTGGAACAGAGAGTAAAGATGAGCAGGACTTAAAAAAGCAGTCTTTAGTGCCTTAATGTTTTACAAAAACCTTTTTTATGTTTGTTTAAAAAACAAAGTATTCTTAAACTGTATAAATGTTTGTTTGCTGTGTATAATTTGTAATTTGACATGTTCTACTCATTTTGTGTAATAAATTAAAGCTTTTATGAAAACAATTTGGCACAAGAAATATTTTATTTTGTAAAGTGAAGAAGTCTGGTCCTTTAATTTTAAAATAGCTTCAGCAGAAACACAATGCAGCAACTAATAAAATACTGACATTTAATAGAATTATGGAAATGTGAAAACACCTTTATGATCATTTTTTATTAATATCGTCATCAATAATATATTTACCATAATTATATTTATGACAACATGCATCAAAGAAATTATTCAGAACCGATTATCTCTAAAATAATAAAATAAAAATGCCAAAAAAGTGTTGTTTTGCTTTTTTGTTTAAAATTAGACAAATTTGCCATTTTCTAAATGTTTGTTTCATTATCATAAAAAGTAAAAATATCACATATTTACCAACTGTCGTTAAAAATATTAAGCCAATAAAAAATGTTTTTTTTTTCATAAAACAACACTAAAAATTTTTGAGTTCTGTAGTTGAATAAATTAATATTGCAGTGATTTGGTTATTTTCTGTTCCGACTGCAGAACCTCGTGTGAACCTGAGCAGTGTCTATAAGTGACCAGCAGAGGGCAGTGCTTCGTAAGCAGCACCTCTTGCAACTCCTTGCTCTCGCAGGTGTGGAGATTTATCTGCAGGACAACCAGCTGCCCTGAGACCCAAAGGGTCAAAACATTTGGTAGTTTGGACACATTTATATCCATAAAGTGAACCTTTTAGCTGCTACAGAGTATGTTTTTCCCCTGTCATTTGGCATCACTGATGAGATCAAAAATGGAAAACTAAGAAAGCACGAACATCTGATTTAAAAAGCAGATTGGAATAATGATTTTGGAAATGACTATGCTCCGTGGTTGTGATGGGTATTAAAAGCTTGTTTCTTTATCAGGTTTGAGTCATTATGGTTTCTTTCTTTCCTCACTGTGAGCCTCACAAGGTGGCCGGTAAAGCACCCAGAGTGGTTTATTAATAGCAGGAGGCACAGGCCAAAATGAATATGCTCCGCCATTATCATAAAAGAAATAATTATCACAAGAAATCAATATCCTGTGTGCGTACGTTATTAGATGAGGTGAAGGACTGAAAAGGAAAGTTTCCAGCTGCAAAGCTCTAATAGGACTTTCATTTTAAAAATGGCCTCATTTCCAGCTCTTATTCTCATATTTCACATCCAAGCAGGGTGGAGCCTGGAGTGCTTATCAAAAAGGTTCATTCTGAAGCCACAAAGGGAGCCCTTAAGGATACCAGGGACAAACACTACAGAGTGTTCTAATCCTATCTGGCCTGGATCAGCTTGTAAGACACTAGAAGAAACAATCAGCCAGACACGAGTCCTCCAAGTCATTTTTTTTACCTCACCCAGTGCACCAGGGAGGTGGAGGGAGGGGAGGGGGGGATGATAGCATTACTCACAATCCATTACCACCCTCTGGAGACGCTCTGCATACAGAGTGATGGAGGGCGGGGAGGGAAGGGAAGGTGGTGAGGAAGGGTGTTTGTTTGCTGGAGGCCCGGCTGTAAGGCAATATGAAACTTGATTATTCCTTTTCAATAACCGTCTGCTGAGCAGCCCGTGGAGATGACGCAGGCTGCTGATTAGACCGTCAAAACGACACAAGGCTCTTGAATAGCTTGTTAGGACGTGCAGGTTTAAACACACAAAGCAGCAGGAGGGACTGTCCTCCAGGAAGCACGTCCAAAAGAATGTTCTTTTTTTAAATCAACTTTATTTTTTAAGGGAAGACAATATACAAAGTGCTGAATACATGAAGGTGGGTATTTTAGACAGTAGGAGAGAGTATGTACATTCATTATTTACACACAGAGGTTCTACCTGATCTTTCTCTCTAAACGTCCAGTTTCACTTTCAGTGCCATCTGCCCCCCCTCCTGGAGTCTTGCTTTAACCCATCTGTTGCCATCTCAGGCTTTCGTCCCCACCCCCACCCTGCTCCCGTACCAGATTTCACTGCAGTGCTTTGATTTCAGCACAAAAAATACGGCTAATTTGACCGAAAGCCTCTGCAGGGTGAATCTGTCCGACAGGTCCCACCTCTGCTGCTTCTGCTCATAATACATGTAAACACACAGGATTTTTATATCAGGAAACACTTTTTTATGCTTTTTTTTTCTAAAAAATAATCATATGATACAGTGGTTCTGACTCACGGAAAACAAGCTTTGATTGTGATTATCTTATTTACATTGACTAAAGGCGTCCTTCAGAGGAGAATTTGTTCCTCTGAAACACGGAGGCCGAGCGCTGTCACTCCCACTCATGCGTCCTCCCCCAGGCTGATCCCACATCAGATAAACTTTAAACACTTTAGTAAACATTTGACATTTTTTCCAGTGAATCACAGGGCAGTAAACAGGACTCAACGTTTAGCTGGAATGGGACAAAATGAAGCTCACTTGAGCAAATGAGCAAAACGGGGGGAATCATTTTGAAATAAAAAATATTTTTTTTTGTTTCAATGGATCTCTCACGCCTCTGATCTCCTCCCCTCTCAACCCAGGATATCCAGATAAACAGGCGGGTTCTTGACCAGCTCCAGCAGTCGGTGGTGGATGTCCTTGATCACCATCCTCTGCTGGGGTTCCCTCTGCCAGCAACCCTGCATCAGCAGGTAGACTTCCTTGGGACAGGTGCGCGGTCTCTCCAGCTCCCGTCCCTGAGTGATGCACTCGATGGCCTGTCGGGGTGGGAATATCAAAAAATGGAAAGGATTCAGCATCATCTTCTTAAAACCAGTCAGGATTTAAAGAGAAGAAAAGAACTCATATGATTTAATTTGCTGTAGGTTTAGGGTTACTGAAGCATCCCGCCATCTGCATCTTTATCTCCATCGGTGACCACTGACATGTTCTCCAAGGCCCTGCAGCAGGAGCCCAGCTCTGTTCTTATCTATAGAACCAGTGAATTTATTGATTTTCTCACCTTCTGTGGTTAGAAAAGTAAAACCACAAAGCTCAAAGTGATCACACAGACAGATGTCAAAAAGGTGTCTCCAGAGTTGCTGTGTTCATTATTACTGTAAACACAGTAAAACTCAATTGGGAAGAACTTAATTATGGATTTGTGGACCTTTAAAGTTTTAATAATGTAAGAAAGGCAAACTTTTTTTCATGTCAGACACTCATGTTGCATTAATCTCATCACTTACCGACTGAAGTTGACATAATCAGGTTAAATCTTGCAAATGAAGGAACGGAAAGACAAAAGAACTGCCCAGGATTGTAGATCAGAATAATATTGTTTGTTTGTGCATTAAGGAGCACATTTTATGGCTGGGTGGGTTCAGTTCATGGGCAGTTTTAATATGATTTCCTGTGGGAGGACTTAGAAGAACATCAACAGCAGAACAACAACTTTTAATGTGTGAATTAAATAGAAAATCTGGCGCAATTATTTGTATTTGAGCTGCAGCAAAGCAGAAGCTGTAAGCCTCGTCCACACCAACTTCTCCAGATGTCTGCTCGCACAAGAGCACCAAATGATTAGAAACGTTAAAAATTTGTTTAGAGAATATACCTGTAAAAATAACATGAACCATCACACACTGTGAACAGACATCCCTATCATTATTAATAATAATAATAATAATAATAATAATAATAATAATTATTATTATTATTATTATTATTGTTAATAATAATATTTATTGTTATTATTATTATTATAAGTAATAATAACAACAATAATAATTATATTATTATTATTATTATTATTATTATTATTATTATTATTATTATAAACTGCAAAATAATGGGACACTGGTTTTATTTTGAAATGGACCTTGCTGAAACTTGTCTCACTTCCTGTCTGGGTATTGTCATTTCTTTAACTTCATGACTATTCACATGGGATGCTCAGAAAAAATAGGGAGCCTGAGTCAGGGCCATCTACTTCCGGACCATGGGTCCCCTGAAGCCAAATAAATGAATGGGAGTCTATGAGCTGATTTTATTTGACGTGTCATGGATTTCATATATGATGTCCTACATAAGCAAACCAGAAAATAACTTTTATGGCCTCACTCACTCCCTCACATTCATTTTTTGCTTTTGTTCAGGTGACCCATGAGCCATACGGATCTCCAGCCGCTGTGAATACTCCAATAGGACTCAATGATTTTTGATTTATGTGGAAGCTGTACGGAAACCAGACTGCAGCTGTTCCAGATTTGGTGTGAAAGAGGCTTTAGAAAGAGGAAAGGCCAAAAAAAAGAAAGGGCTATAAATGTTTCTGGTGCTGAAAGAGCTGTAAAAGACTATCTTTTTCCTCTGCATCTGTAGATAATACCACTAAGAATGTTTTTTTTAATTTTCATACAGACAGAAAGCTGAGTGACAAAGAATCAAATCTTCTTTCACACAGATCTCCTGATCCGAGTCCATTAGCCGCCACCTCTGGGCCAAACGAGCAACCAAAAATGCTCCAACGTTAATGTCTGCATTGACAGATTTATCTCACAGCCTTGCACCGTTTGGTGAGGATGATGAGAGGATGTCTCTGTCTGAATGCTAACTGACTCAGTATTCTGCTCATGGCTGTTAACCTTTGTCTGATTAAGTGAACAGAAGTGGAGAGGCTTGTCAACAAAGCTTTTTAACACTAGGGCAGCCCGCCGGTCAGGCCCTGACTCCCAACGCCCTCCTGCTAATTCTTCTCTGCCACTCACTATTTAGGCAACATGGTAATTTCACCTGTCCCTTATGGGGCGAGACAGATTATGATAACAAGGTTACAGTTTATTGGCCTAAGGCAAAAATGAAGTTAATGAGATTAGAATTGAGTGCAATGGGAAAGTGATCCACCCTTCTTGTGGAAGCAGAGAGGTTTATGACCTGTAATAGCATTGCTGTGGTCACAATGGAGACCCACTTCTTGGTGCTTAAGCTGAAAAGCCCAGACTGGCCAGCCCTTAGTTACTACAAACTTATTGATTCCTTTATAAGTGCAGAGTATGAAGGACTGCATGCTCTAATAGGTAAAACAAAACGAAATACTGAAACATTTCAGGTGAATGCCTCTGTCCTACTAGTAATCAACTCCATCCATCCATCTATTTTCATCTGCTTATCCGGAGTCGGGGGCAGTAGCCTAAGTTGAGAGGCCCAGACTTCCCTCTCCCCAGCCACTTGGGCCAGCTCCTCCGGGGAAATCCCAAGGTGTTCCCTGGCCAGGTGAGAGACATGGTCCCTCCAGCGTGTCCTGGGTCTACCTTTAGGCCTCCTCCTGGTTGGATGTGCCCAGAAAACCTCACCAGGGAGGCGTCCAGGAGGCATCCTGACCAGATGCCCGAGTCACCTCAACTGGCTCCTCTCGATGTGGAGGAGCAGCGAATCTATTCTGAGTCCCTCCCGGATGACCAAGTTTTTCCACGCTATCTCTAAGGGAGAGCCCAGCCACTCTGCGGAGAAAACTCATTTCGGCCGCTTGTATCCACGATCTTGTTCTTTCTGTCACTACCTCATGACCATAGGTGAGGGTAGCAACGTAGATCGACCGATAAATCAAGAGTTTCGCCTTCTGACTCGGGTCTCTCTTCACCACGACAGACTGGTACAACACCCGCAGCCCCAATATGCCTATCGATCTCACACTCCAGTTTTCCCTCACTCGTGAACAAGACCCAGAGATACTTAAACTCCTCCAATTGGGGCAGGACCTCGTTCCTGACCCGGAGAAGGCATTCTACCCTAAACCGCTCCAGCGAAAGCTGAAGATCACATTCTGATTAAGCAAACATGACCACATCATCTGCAAAAAGCAGAGACCTGATCCTCAGGCCACCGAAACGGATCCTGTCCATAAAGGTAATGAACAGAATAAGTGACAAAGGGCAGCCTTGGTGGAGTCCAACTCTCACAGGGAACAAGCCCGACTTACTGCCAGCAATGCGACCAAGCTCTGACACCGGTCATACAGGGACCTAACAGCCCATATCAGAGGGCCTGGTACCCCATACTCCCGGAGTACACCCCCCCACACTAGGGCCTGCACGACTTTATTTTTTTTAAAGTCGACAGTCAAGTAATGAAAGTCGAGTCGACTTCGACTAGTCGTTGATGACGTCATACGCCGGAAGCGGGGGGGGGGGGGGGGGGGTCGGGGGGGTCGGTCGGTAGGTTCGCTGGAGTTTTTGACAATTAAAATTGTGCCCACATTTTCTAAGTTAACACATCTCTTTTAACAATGGTAGTTTCTGCATCCTACTTCAGTCCTCTCCCCCCTCCCCCTGCGCAGCAGCCGCAAACTCACTGATGCGCCTGCAGCCTTTCCTGCTGCTCTAAACATTAAAATAATTATTTCATTTTCTGTTCCTCACTTCTGATTACCTTCAGTGGTGTCTGTTTGTTGCAACCAGCAGGTACAAAAACGAACTTGTTTTTATTTGACTATTTTTCTGTCCTGTCTGTTTATTATCTTCCTGCATCTCCTCTCAATCCTAAAGAGAAACTGCTACCTGGGTTCATATATATTCACCTTATGAGTTACCTTTGAACTGCAGTTCTAAAAGATCTACCGACCGCAAAAACAGCGGAGTGCCGCTGCTCGCCGGCCGACTACAACGGGACCGTTTTTGCTGCGGACTTCATGCCGGAGCGGAGCGGAGTGGAGATAGTGGAATCTTGGGTGTGCGTCACCGGAGAACAAAACAGGTGAAGAGCCTCGCTCCGCAGCAGCGAAACGCATCAGGCACAAATAACAGACAGAAAACATGAAAGGAAATGAGCCGACATGAACGATCGCGTGTTTAATTTGTTTTTGAGGTGGTGACACCTGATTTGGCGGTGCTCAGGACGCAATGTCTGGAGCGCGTCAACGATCAGAGCTTTGCATGCACAAACTGGTTAAGATTAGGATGGGGGTGAGGGGAAGGTTAAATTGCAAGAGGGAAAAGGTCACAGTTTGGTTAAATGTCCGTTTTACCGCCGGTGTCAGTACCGCACAGCGCGTCGCCTCTGCCTGATCCAGACGCGCAGGGGCTCATCACCTGCTGTCTTTTCCGAGGACTGCATCTTGTCAGTCATTATCACGTGACAGCGACTAGTTGATGACAGGCATAAAAAGTCACTACAGAGCCGTGAAGTCGACTAGTCGACTAGTCGACTAGTTCGTACAACCCCTACCCCACACACAGGCCCCCCCCCCGAGGGATGTGGTCAAACGCCTTCTCCAAATCTACAAAACACATGTAGACTGGTTGGGCAAATTCCCACACACCCTCCAGGATCCCCCTAAGGGTATAGAGCTGGTCCAGTGTTCCATGGCCAGGACGAAAACCACATTGCTCCTCCTGAATCTGAGGTTCAACAATCCGATGGACCCTCCTCTCCAGAACCCCTGAATAGACCTTACCATTTTCTGTTTGTCGTCTTTAAATAAGGGAACCACCACCCCGGTCTGCCAGTCCAGTGGGACTGCCCCCGATGTCCACGTAATATTGCAGAGCCGCGTCAGCCAACACAGCCCCACAACATCCAGAGCCTTAAGGAACTCCAGGCGGATCTCATCCACCCCTGGAGCCTTGCCACAGAGGAGCTTTTTAACCACCTCAGTGACCTCAGCACCAGAGATTTGAGAGCCCAACTCAAAGTTCCCAGACTCTGCTTCCTCACGTGTCGGTGGGATTGAGGAGGTCTTCGAAGTATTCTGCCCACCGATCCACAACGTCCTAAGTAGAGGTCAGCAGCACACCGTCCCCACTATAGATAGTGTTGGTAGCATACTGCTTTTCCCCCCGAGGCTCCGGATGATGGACCAGAATCTCCTCGATGCCGTACAGAAGTCTTGCTCCATGGTCTCACCGAACTCCTCCCATGCCTGGGTTTTTGCCTCAGTGACCACCCGAGCCGCGTTCCGCTTGGACTGCCGGTACCTGTCAGCATCCTCTGGAGTCCCACAGGCCAAAAAGACCTGATAGGACTCTTTCTTCAGCTTAACGGCATCTCTAACCGCTGGTGTCCTCCAGCAGGTTCGGGGGTTGCCACCACGACAGGCACCGATGATCCTGCGACCACAGCTCTGGTCGGCCGCCTCAACAATGGAGGCACGGAACAGGGTCCATTCAGACTCAATGTCCCCCGCCTCCCCCGGAACATTTTGGAAGTTCTGTCGGAGGTGGGAATTGAAACTCCTTCTGACAGGAAACTCTGCCAGACGTTCCCAGCAAACCCTCGCGATACGTTTGGGCCTGCCTGGTCTGACCGGCGTCCTCCCCCACCATCTGAGCCAACTCACCACCAGGTAGTGGTCAGTTGACAGCTCCATCCCTCTCTTCACCAGAGTGTCCAAGAAATGCGGCCGCAGGTCCGACGAAAATACAACAAAGTCGATCATCGAGCTGCGGCCTAAGGTATCCTGGTGCCAAGAGCACATATGGACACCTTTATTTCTGAACATGGTGTTCATTATGGACAATCCATGACTAGCACCAGAAATCCAATAACAAAACACCACTCGAGTAAACAACTCTATGAATTAAAATATTAAAGTAAGAAAACTACTACAAACTGCTACAATTAACCTAAAAACTTTAGAAGAAAATTTTTAGATTTCTGATTTAGAGAGAAACAGAAGGCTGATATTTCTTTCATTGGGAAATGTACAACCAACAGAACAAGGAAATAAGAAGTAGCATCTTATGGTGCATTTTAGCATCTTGTTGTAACGAGTTTTAGTATCTTGTTATAACGAGGTAATTATCTCATCATGACGAGTTTTAGTATCTTGTCAATTTGAGCTTTGGTATCTTGTTATAACGAGGTAGTATTTCATCATGACCAGTTTTAGTATCTTGTTATAATGAGTTTTGGTATCTCATCATAACGAGTTTTAGTTGTTACAGCTGGTGCCTTTTTGCCCTGGGGATGGGAGCCCAGGACATAAGTTGCCGTCATCTCCTACCTCTACAAAGGCACAGCAATCATGAGAGACCTCCCCTCCTCCTCCCTTGTGCCTACACAAGTCACTGGAAAACGAGGAGTAACAAACTGTGTCTGTTGTTTTCATTTTCTGTTTGTCGTCTTTTTAGCTTTATATAATTGAATCATTCGCTTTTTTCAGATAAGTCAATGTTAATTTAGCTAACTGTTGTTTAGTAACTAATTAATGTTACTTCAAAGCAACAAGCTAATTTTCTGGAAGGGGTGGAGGGGTTGTTAGTTGCTTGTTTCTTAGCCAGTTAGCATGTTATTCCACAAAAATGGCCTTGCTTCAGAGTAAAAACTATGAACCAAAAAATAAAGCATGTTCCTTGTCCATAATAACCTCTTTAAACTTAGAAGCACGTTGGAAGTGAAGCATCCTTAAGGCCTGGTTCGCACGGCAGGATTTTGTAAGTAATACATTTTTAAAACAGCAAAGAAACTGATATCACACACGGCCATTACCCAATCAGACGGGACATTTATTAAAACCTCTCAAGATCTAACGTGACTTTGGAGTAAACAAACATGGCGGGCGTGCTGATTGGCTATATTTCACATATGAAACAGAAAATTTAAACTGGGCCAAGGCAATCCAACATGTTTAACGTCATTCCTGATATGTGATCCAGGTGGTCTTGACATTTTTTTTCCAGCAGACCAGAATGCTCATAACACAGCACACATGACAAGAACATCTAAATTATGCTTAGAGTCATTAAGGTTGTAGGAGTAACATACGTATTTATTTGGGTGCTTTTAAAGCTTGATATACTACCCTACACTTTGACCAGTATGATGTGAATTTCCATATAAATATGGAAATCCAGTCTGATTGGTCTTTGAATGTTTAACCAAAAGCTTTAGAATTCTTTGTTTATTGAGGGATTATCAGACACTTCGTATTAATTCAAGAAGAGAGTCAAGATTATTAAGAGTAAGAAATTTATTTTCTAAACAATTAAAAACATGACAACTAGGACATTTTATGTGATGAATGGATCTAAGTGGATGGAATGTGAGACGTGATGGTGTGTGAATGTGATGTTATCAGAACCTTCATATCTGAAGAAACTGAGTTCTGAGTGGGAGTGAATTTGGTCTGCATTAAACTAACAAAGTTGGCTCTTATCACACATTAGACGCAATCTGTCGAGTCTACGTACCCTGATCGGAGACCCCCGTGGTAGATCCGGAATGTGTTGAGGTCTGGGGACCCCAGAGGTACCGAAGTCCATAGAAGAAACCGCAGTGCTGACTAGACCGGTCTCGAGATGTCTCCAGGTCACGCCAGTTGTTATTTGCGTCTTAGGAATAACTCTTAAGGAGCTGAAGTTGGTTCAGCTTTATTCTGAAGGAACCGTTTGCAGTCAGTTGTAGCATGCAACAGGTTTTGACAGCTTGTCAAAGATGCGGTGGGAGCAGAGTTTCCCTCCGATGGCCAGTCAGAGTTAGGCTCAACTGAATCACTCAGGGAGTGATGCTGTTTTAAATACTGGCCATATCTTGGTTTATTGATAAATCAGAACTTGCCCTGTAAAGGGGTTTTGCCAACAAACCCAGATACACAGCTCCCTCAGATATGAAGATGCTGATTTTGTGGCTAAGAAAATATCTATGTGCAGTGACTTATATTACATTATAACTTGCGTCATTGAGATATGGTGAATGTGTCTTGTCCAGCCAGTGTGCTGATTAAATATATGGGTCATATATTTCATTTTATCCTTGTTAACCTTTCAATGTAATAATAATATTCATTTCAACTTCAGTAATTTAAGCACAGATTAATCAAAACATTTCATTAAACCATATTGTCCATTTCATTATATGATTATATGATAGTTATTCATATAACATTTGTTCATTCAACCATATTATTATTTAATGATTATTTAACCAATGAGTTGTAAAAGTTCTTCTTTCATGAGTGTTATTATTATTGTTATTTTCTAAAGGCTTTGTTTGGGAACATAGGCTGACATCTTGTTCCCCCTGAAATGTCAACAAGGACTGCAGAATCTTCTGGGCTTTAGAAGACAGGATAGAAACTCCACTCAGATAGTAGAATTAGGTCTGTAGATGATCGGATATTGTGTAAGTCAATATGTAGATGAAAACTGACCATTTCTGGATGTTACAAGGTCTAAAGATTCTCAGAATAGGAGAATCAGGTAAAAAGCAACATGATAGTCCGGCCACAGGAACCGGCCCTAAGGAAGAAATCTAGCTGTCATGTTTCTAAATCCAAACCACTTTAACACCATTTTTTCTGGATTTTGAACGCATTTTATTTTTATTTTTTTGGGAGAAAAAGTGAAGTATTGAAAAGTATTTTCTGGTATAACTAGTGTCTAGTAAACAATTACTTTTAGCACAACTGGGATGTTCTAAACGAATCAGCAACAGCTATGTGTTGGTCTCTCATAACTCATATTTCTTGTTTGTGCTGGTATGCAGCTATTCACATTTTTAGATATTTCATTTATGAGCATTTCAAGGATGAACATTTTTAGGGTAAATACCTCCAGAGATTCTGCTTCCAAGAAAAAAGTGTATTCTGTCATCTTGAGGAACATTTTTCAGAGTTTTTAGCTGCAGTCCGAACTTTTTAAAAAATTCTTAAAAAATCTGGACAAAAGAGGTTAAACTGTTTGTAAGGCAAGTTAATGATGAATAACCCAACAGTAGCTTTGTTGTTTTATTCAGATTCTAGGATTATCATGACTTGCAGACTAAATGCACCAGTGACCCAAACCCACCTCATTGTTGGACAGCTGATACCAGGGTTGTTTGCCATAGGTGAAGATTTCCCAGAGAACCACGCCAAAGCTCCAGATGTCGCTCTCTGTTGTGAACTTTCTGTACATGATGCTCTCCGGAGGCATCCACCGGATTGGTAGCATTGTGCGTCCACCCACCTGAAGGTCAAATAAAATCACGTTTGTGAAATGACACCACCTTTTTGAGATGGGGTCAACTGGTTCTCTCGAACCAGACACTTACCCGGTAGTAATCTGTGCTGTAGATGTCTCGAGACATCCCAAAGTCTCCAATCTTCACCACCAGGCCTTCTCCCACCAGGCAGTTACGGGTCGCCAGGTCGCGGTGGACGAAGTGCAGTGACGCCAGGTAAACCATGCCTGAAGCTATCTGAGCAGCGATGTGCAGCATCTGAGGTAGAGTCAGCTGACCCAACGGGGGCATCTTTGACTCCTCTAGGATTCGAGCATCAGGGCCGTGAGCTCTGGGGGAGGGGCACAGGTGATACAAATAATAAGCAACCAAAATATCTGACAAATTTTTCTATTTTATTTGAATCAGTCTGAATGAATTAAACTGTTCCTGGCTGCTGTTATTTGGTCACTTCTGGTCCAGGGCAGCTGTTCAGGGTTGAGAGCCAACCATGCGCCCCAAAACACTGAAAATTAGGTCTTAAAATTATCTTCAGAAGTCAAGACATAAAAGCAAAGCTTTACTCAACATCTTAAAATATTAACCCAAATGTGTCCAAAACCTTTAGAATAATAATTTGTTTTGTCGTAATTTTATGGTTTTGGTTTATTTTCAGTTCTTCTTCGCTCTACTGCCACCCTTTTCATACACGTTACTAATAAAATGGCATGATAATTATATCTGAATGGAGAAACAAGTAACTTTTATTTGTGTAGCACACTTTTCACAGATATAAATCACAAAGTGCTTCACAGTAAAACAGAATATTATGCCATAAATTAAACAACAAGCAGGACTTTGTAAGTACCTTGAGACGACTCTTGTCAAGACCTCATCCCTGACCCGGAGAAGGCATTCTACCCTTTTCTGATTCAAGACCATGGTCTCGGATTTAGAGGAGCTGATTCTCATCCCAGCTGCTTCACACTTGGCTGTGAATCTCTCCAGCAAAAGCTGGAGATCACATTCAGATAAAGCCAACAGGACACATCATCTGCAAAAGGCAGAGACCTGATCCTCAGGCCACCAAAACGGATCCCCTCAACACTTTGGCTGTGCCTAGAAATCATGTCCATAAAAGTTATGAACAGAATTGGTGAGGGCAGCCTTGGCGGAGTCCAACTTTTGCCGAGCTCGACTTACACCAGTCACTGGCAATGCACCAGTCATATAGGGACCTGACAGCCTGTATCAGAGGTCCTAGTACCCCACACTCCCGCGGAGTACTCCCTACAGGGCCCACATGGGACTCAGTCCAACACCTTCTCCAAATCTACAAAACACATGTAGATTGGTTGGGTGAACTCCCACGCACCCTCCAGGACCTTCTCAAGGGTTTAGAACTGGTCCAGTGTTCCACGGCCAGGACAAAAACCAAATTGTTCCTCCTGAAGCGGCGGTTTGACAATCTGACTGACCCTGCTCTCCAGAACCCTTGAATAGACCTTACCAGGGAGGCTCAGGAGTGTGATCCCCCTGCAGTTGGAACACATCCTGCGGTCCCCCTTTTTAAAGTAGGGGGACCACCACCCTGGTCTGCCAGTCCAGTGGGCCTGCCCACGATTTCCATGCAAATTGCAGAATCGCGTCAGCCAACACATCTCTACAACTTCCAGAGCCTTAGGGAAAAGATTGTATGCAACAACAAATGTAAATTTATTTCAAATAATTGGTTGTGTGAAAGTTGTTAATAAAGGTTTTTCAAAAAGGTAGCACAGCGACCAACATCCCGTCATGCGTTGCGGTCGATGACGCAATGCTCCCTGCCTCAATTCAACAATTACTTTCACACTCGTGTACCACACACTCGAGGCCTTACAGTGCACTTCCTCCAAGTGCACGTCACAGAAGACCATAGAGCACATTGCGAGTATCATGATTGGGCCTAAGTCTCTGGGTGACACCACATTAGATGCCATATTTTCTTTTACGGGAGCCTGTGAGGACAAAAATTAATTTACTGATTTGTAACAAAAGGTTATAGAACTTTAACCATACATAAATGTTGTTTTACACTTCTACACTCATTACCAGTGATGAAAGGGAGTTTGATGTGCTTGCCATTTTGCTGGAAGTTGTGCTCTCAGGGATTTTTGGCCCTAATGACCTTTCACTGGTAAGGTCTTACTCGAACACAAAAATACCACTTGCTTGCAATGATTGAGGTATGTACCGCCCCCTATCCCCAGGGAAAATACACATTAATAAAAATCTCTTCCAGGGATGATTTACTTAGAAAATGCACATTGTCTTTGTGTTTGGATATAAACCTCACACACAATAAAAGAAACTGTTTCTGAGAGTCTGATGGTGCTTCTATTGGCCGTTGGGATTATCACTCCCCCGATTGGACGTATCATTGATTGTGTCACCAACCTCGGGTCACCTGAAGGACAGTGACCTCAGCGAGCAATCTGCAGATTGAACACTTCTGATAAATAAGAGTATGGAGCAGACGCGGTCAGCACGCCACAATAAAGCCATTTAAAACTGATGCATAATAGAAAACACAGGCTTGTAATACGCCTACAATTGATTTGCAATAATGTAATTCAGAGATGCAGAGCACATTAACTCTGGTGATGTTGAACACCCACTCTGATACCCAACTGTCTAAATGAGCGAATCACAGCTGATGTGTCTCCATGTGGCGACCATCCTAATCTCTCTCTCTCCTCCACTTTACAAAGGAAGTTGTTTATACTATCACTATTAGTTTAAAAGGCAGGTGGCAGGGTGGGAAAGCAGCTGCACCATGGGGGCTCTCAGACATTTCACCCACTCTGTTTTCTGGAAATGTGATTTCCATCCATTGGTGAACATATATCTCAGGAAAAGCCTGTGTGTGTGCACGCATGTGTGTGTGTGTTTTCTATGTTTTCATTCCCAGTCTGTCTCCTGCAGAGAACACCTGGCAGTCAGCATCAACCGCGTCTGCTCTGATAGCTTTCTCAGATTGTTTCCAAGGTGCCGAGTGAGCTTTAATAGGTCAGCTCAGCCTTTCTCTCCCTCTTGAGGTTACGAAAAATATTCTAGATGCTCAGAAAGCACATTCGTACTATAATAAGTCATATTCTGAAATATTTTGCACATTTTTTTCCCTTGAGACCCTAAATTAGCTCAGACTTTCCTGTTTCTGCTGAAATGTTGACTCTTATTTTCAGCATCATTAGAAGTTGACTCTTTTTCTGGTTAGAGCCTCTTTTACACTCTGCCCCTTGCAGGTAGTTTGTTAGCATGCACAAATCTTACTCTCATAATAAAACACAAATCTATAGCTCTTCCTGAAACAGTGAGTGTTTGAACAGAAATACTTTTAGCTTCTTCATAAAGAGACACATTATCATCCAACACCACACGTTCCAAGCCAACCAATGTGGTGAAACAGGCAACAATCCCACCAAGGGGCATCTGACCTAATGGAATGGTTCTGAAAGAAATTATAATCTCCTATGCAAATAATTCAGGTATTTCAGTCGTCACTTTCTTGGATGGACACATGAGTTAATATTTTATTCTTCTTTCAACACCTGAACATGATAAATAAGAATTTATTATATCTACAGTAGTGCGGTATTCCTGGTTTGGGGAATATCATGCAGCTGAAGAGCCCTTATCTCTGATGTCAGCCAAAATAAGATGGATCCAAAGGTCCGTTCCTTCATGGGAAGTGTCCACCAGGTAACTGGTTAACCTGCGCTCCCACAGCTCATCTTTAACTACTGACACACTCTCCACCTGGGCCTCCAGTGCTTAGTTCTCCACTTGGTTCCTGAACAACATGGAGGCCTCCTCAGGCCACTGTCGGTTAGGGTTAGCTTCCAGACTTTCGTCCTCTATGTGCTCCAGCTTCCACTCCTCCATCCTCCCCTCCCCTTTCATTCTCATTCTTCACTGTTGGTCACCTCATCAGTGGTTCCTACAAAGGATCGGTTTAATCTTCCCCCTTGCACCTGGCCACCACAGCCAAGGTAATAAGGCACTGAGCAGAGCTGCCTGGCCCATCCACGACATCACCATCAAGGTTAATGACAGGATCAGTCCCAGCAGATGAGAACAACAGCAGCTCTATATGTAGACCTTCCCGCTGTTTATCTGAACATCCAAGCTGCTGCAGTAGGCTACCAGGAGACCTTGAAGACCTTGAATGTCTGCATAATCGAGTATGGAAAACTCAGTGCCACACAGGTCCTGAGCCCAATCCAGGGACATTGGGACATGTATCATATCAGCTGTATCAGCTGCTTTGGTTGTCACCTCCTTTATCCGGTATAATTTATTTTCTCCTTGTAATAATGGTAGTCATTATTGCTACAGATTCCCCTTCAGTCTGCTTAACTGCTGTCAGAAAGTTTGTGGTTGTGTATCTCCACTCTCCGGTGAGTAACCAACTTCATGTGCATACAGCTAGTTAGCTGTATAGGCCACAAGCCTTAGCCACATGATCAGTACTGCTTGGTACATTCGCTCACTTTAGAGACCAAAGAGAATGATTTATAATATTGATATTGTCATTCTCCTGGGATATTTGATTTGAACACTTATTTTCTATAACAAAGTGTCAATGTGAATTCAGCTGAATAATTGATAAGAAGTTTTGTGAAACGGATAACAAAGAAACTGATATTTGAAAGTAAATGTACAACTTTAAACTCGTTAAAGAGTTTAAGTAATTTAGAAAGACATGTCATCTTTATCATTTGGTTTATTTCTTTGTATGTGTATACATGTAAATAATTGTATTAATGACTTATTTTCTGGCTTATTTTAGGTCACGTTTTTTGGCGGATATTTTGTTTCTTCTTCAGTTTTCATCCTGAAGACCTCATCGGATTCTCCTCGGTTTTACCGTGGATGTCAAGCTACCATTAAGAAGGAAGCTCACTTGGAAAAAGGACTAAATGAACTTGAGCTCACAAGGACAAAAAGCCTTGTGATCTCTTAGGACTTGATAATTTTTGCAAACTGTTATCCTGTCATTCTTTTCTTCTCACCCGTAAATAACTTTAATACATTGTTCAAACTAAAGACCTTTTGTGTTCTGTTATTTTTATTCACACACTTCGACTCTAGAGCCGAACCTTATTCTGATCCCCATTCCACCTGCTGGTAAAAGGCAGGTTGGTGTGCAGTCCTGACCAGCGTTACACCAGTCACTATTATCTAGGTCCGAATGTCTTTTGTTGTCCGTGACTTTTTTTGAAGTGGTATCAACCAGCGGTGTCCCTTCTTCATTAGTAAGCAGAGAACCTCTCACATGGTGTTCTGTTGCTAAATACACAAGTGTTTGATGAATGGAGGACCCAGGGAAGTGCGGAGACCCTAACCCTAACACAATCAGAATTGTTCTTGATATTTGGCAAAATGGAAACCTTCACAAGGCTGAGGCACCTAGCCATGCCCAGAAGGTCTTGCAGGATCCAGATCCATCTGCCATCATTCCTGATCAGAGTGATGGCTGTCGTGCACAGAGCTGCCAGAAGGAGAAGTCCAGAGATTGCATCCGACACAGGATCCAGGCGGATGAAGAGTGCCAAGGTAGAAGCGATTGTGGAAAACGCAATCTAGATGTAAACAAGACAGTTGTAGAAGTGCAAAAGCAGGACTCCAAAGGCAAAAGTTACTGCAATAACACCTGGAACGTGGAATATGGTCGGTGCCATTTCAGTTTTTCCACGTCCCACTTGTTGAAATGCTTTATACCGTTTTTTTGGCATGGCTGGCTATTACTGCTGTTTCTGCAAAACAAGTTGCCATTGTTGTTACTCCTTTAACTTCTCTTTTAAGCCCCAATAGAATACCTTATCTTTTTAATGGTCGGATGCTGCCCAACAAGCGTTTGAGAACCATTAAGCAGCACCCCTGTGCTCCAAGCCCCAGATCCTTCCAAACCATTCACTCTGGAAGTCGACTCCAGTGATGTTGGGATGTACAAATGTTTATGTTTATGTATTTAGCAGATAAATGTTTGGGCATTTTCCCAGCTGTTCATAAAGTACCACCTCTTCAGGGTCTCTCTTACACTTTTTGGCCCCAAAGCCAACTAAGGTTGTTTTCTGTTCAGAAACTCACTGTAAATTTCAGATTTCACTCTTACAGAAAGATGCTTTTAGAAATACCTTTGAAGCCAGTGTTAAAAAAATTTCCAATTTTTGTTTGAATTAGAAAAAAATGTTCATATTTTATTTGGATTTTTAATTGCTAGAAGTTTCTGGTGTTTAGAACTGACCTCTGAAACAGCTTTCCATCCGATAACCAGGATTATGATGCAGCATTCCAACTGCTCTACAGTAGCATGAGCCCTTCGAGCAAGTTATGGCCATTAGCTGCAGGAACGTCTCAACACACACCTCAGATAAATTAGCAGCTTAAAGTGAAGGTTTTGATAGGTTAATGGAGCAAGGTGATGGGTTGACAGAAAATAATAGAGAAAATGAGTTGAGATGGCAGCAAGAATGCAGAAAAATACATTTGACTTTGGTATTTACCAGGTCTGTCAAAATGCATTTAATAATGATCTTTACTGACAGTAAACAAATGACAGGTTTTACTATTTAATATAAAATCTTTACAAGAAAAACCTATTTGAAATCAAAGTGGAGAACTAATTATTAAAAAGGTCTACAAAATGAATCGCCCATTAAAAAGTTGTTTCAGAATTTGGCTTGAGATGTTTGGAAACATGCTGTTTGTTTTTTAAAATAACTTAAGTTCATAACATGTTTTCAATCAATCCATAAAAATTTTGCCAAATTAACTGAGTCATGTCATATTTAAGACTTACTTCTCCTCAGGAAATACCCAGGTCCCTTTTGTAACCAGGATCCTTGAATGGTTCATACTGGTGATAAACTGGTTGTATTAACTGGTTATATTTTTACCATAGAGCATGTTAATGTGAATTACATCATATGAATGACATTTATGTTTTAACCAAGATGAAATCAGGTACATATCTGAGGTTCTGCTTTTGTCTACGTGTAGAAGATCATGGTGCAGGAGAAGTTTTTCCTATTCAGACCACAGCCTTGGTTTTGTTTTCCAGTTAAACCAATGCTTTAATAAAACTAACTGGATTAATAAGAATTGTCTCTAACATGTGATGCTGATTGATGAGTAGCAAATGTTCCAAACTCAACTCAACCAATGTCTAAACAATGAAGTAAAACTTTATAAAGGTCAAAAGTAATGTTAAAGCTGCTGGCAGTGGCTCATTAGGGTTACTTTGGTAGCCAAGCACCTGTGTCTCTCACTCCCTGAAAACAAAGCTAATAAGAGGCAAGCAAGAACTGTTTAACGTGAACTATGCAGTTTGGGTTTGTTTTTAGCACCCCCAGAGTCCGTTAGTAATTCACTATTGTAAAAGCAAAAATGAGACTTATCTCTGTGTTTGTCTTTTTAACGCCTTACTCTAACTGCTGAAACATCTCAGCCTTCATAAGTGTTTACAGGACAGCAAATCAGCTACAGGGGTGGGGAACCCTGGTCCATCAAGGGCTGCTATCCAGCATATTTTAGTTTCAACCCTGCATCATCACACCTGGTTTCAATCAGTAGGTGATTAACAAGCTTCTGTAGAGCTTGATGAGCAGCAGAACAGGTGAACCAACCACTGAATCAGAAGTGTTGGAGCAAAGACATGCAGGATACCAGCCCTCGAGGACCAGGGTTCCCCACTCCTAATTCTAAAACATGCTGAAAGCAGACTGCAGCACCAGCATGTCAGTTCCACATTACTAACAGGTAGCGCCCGCCAACTCTGAAGTTGCAAGTGCGGTATTCTGGCCACAGGGGGCAGTGAGCGTCTGAGAGACCTTTTATTAACCCCGTAAAGGGTAATTATAGCGAATACTGGAAGAAAATTATTTTAAAATATGAAGCAACTGCATAGAATACCTTTAAAAGCTAAAATGTTCAGTTGAGTCGTGTGTGTGTGTGCACGTGTGTGCGAGTGTGTGGGTGTGGTTTGCAAAAATTTGCATGGATTCAACTGATAATTGTGACTGCATCCTTAATAGGTTATGCCCTGGCATCCAAATAAAGTGGGCTTGTACCATTATGCAGGTAAAAAGAATAAGTTCAGGTAATAAATCAGATTTTGCCAATCATCTTTCTTTGTGTAGGTTAATAATAAAAACCAATCTTGAAATTTTCAAAAGAACATCTGAAAATATTTAAACCTTCAATCCAAAAATCAGGAAACCTTCTATCTCACAGCTAGAACAAATTGCCTTGAGACTTTTATCTTAAAAATACAATTAAAGGTTTGATTATGTCTTCATTCAATCAACAGCACTATTATTATTTTACCAATCATTTCAGCTTTAGGGTTCATGAAGGTCCACTGAGGAGGCTGCATTTAGGCTCCTACGTACCGAAGGAAACGATTCAAGTCTCCGTGCCTCATGTACTCGAACACCATGGCCAGCGGCTCTCCATCCGTGCAGACTCCATAGAACCGGACAATGTGTTTGTGTTGGAGAACCGTCAGCAGCTCTGCCTCCCGCTGGAAGTCCTGCCGGGTCGACTCGTTTGCATCCTTCAGAGTCTGCAAAGGAACATGGGATTTATAAAAGGAAAGTGTTCCTGATTCAGTATCGTAGGAGGAGCTGAATGAACAATGTCTGACCCAACCTGAAAAACTAATATCTTTCACTTTCAGTGTTTCCCTTCAGGCACTGCCACGGCAACCGTTCTGGCTCCATCCTCTACAGTCGTAGGCAAAAGTTTATTTACACAAATATTCATTTTCACTGAAGAAAACCAGGGCAGGAAACTCTCCGGACTGGGTCTTCTAACTCTCTGAAGATGAGAGCTGCTTCATAATTATTGAGCAAAACGAAGGGCTACCAGGTTGATCCACAAAATTTAGATCAGAGTTTAACTAACCTCAATAAACTTCTTTTAATTGTTATTTTAAAGGTGTGAAAAACTGAAAAAACGTTATTAACCCTCCCACTGTCTTAATGGGTGTGACCCAATGAGGAAAGTTGACCATTGAGCAGGGTTGATGGTTTATCCTTTGAGGTCCTTGTAGCAGGGGTGAGGTGAGCACCACCTCACCCCTGCCACGTGGACCTCAAGGGATAAACCATCAATTCTGCTCAATGGTCAACTTTCCTTGCGGGGTCACCCATAAAGGCAGTGGGAGGGTTATTGATTATTTCTACTTATAGTCGGTCACTGAGTTTTTCATGCAGGCTGGACATGAAAATATTCTCCTACACCTATCTCCTGCATTAGCTTCTGACTGATGGTGAAACTCTAGGATTTGAAAATCCTGACACTCAACATTCATGGATTCACCCATCTTGACTTGCAACAGGGAAGGCTGTTGTTAGTTTAGCATCCAGGAAACGGTAGAGAACGTCTCGGCTGGTGGAAGCTAACTGTTAGCATTAGCAACTCCACCACACAGCATAACTCCCTCAGGTTTATGTGAAATTTGTGGAGGGAAAACATCCACGTTGCAGAGCAGACAGTGGTAGAGTCGCGTTGCTGTTAGCCAATAAGAAGTGAGATGTCCAAACATCAGGAAATAAGACTATTAAGCTCTCCTCTGATGTAGCATTTTGCTAGTTCCTGAAACAAACGCATCTGAGCTTTTTTTCCTCCTGAGTATGACTTGCAAGGCATTCATTCCTACTAGAGACCACTGAAAATAAATGAGTGTCCCACATGTTTAAACAATATTGCAGTTTTCAAATCTTTATTAAGGCAAGAGTGATTTAAAAATGGCTATGCAAAAAGTATAATGTTTAAGGCTTTGCTAAGTGGAAAGTTCTGCAATTTCTAAAAAGGTTGGCACAAGGTTGGTGAGCCCTGCATCAGATCTTGACCAAGAAATTGTGTTCAATTCTCAAAAAGCAGATGGACAAACAAAAATCCACTGATTATGACAAACAAGCACTGATTAGGAAAACATTGTTTTGCCTCAATCTGGTTCTGGTCCAGATGATCGATTGCACACGGGTGAATCAACATAAGTTGTCTAAGAAATAAAATTAAGCTCTTATTAATGAAATTATTAATTTCCCTATTTGCTGAGCCCTATTTGCTCATCTTGTTTTTCTTCTTCTGTGGTTTGCATTAACCTGTTGTAACACGAGCTGTGTATTAAACCACCTGACAGCTCCTTAACAAAGACAACTCTCTAAAACCATCATAGACTCATGGATGAAGGTGTTAGTGCAAGTAGAAACTTATTTGCATCAATAGAAGCGCTCAGTGGGAGGTGGTGCTCTCAAGGCTGGATTAACCATATGGGCAACCGGGAAATTGCCCAGGGCCCACGAACTAAGGGCCCAGGGCAGCAAGGGCACGAGCAAAATACTGTATCTGTAATCTCCTGCTTTCAGACTAATTCAAACAAAAATCTTTTTCTTGTGACTATGTTCCCACCATGGTAGCAGATCCCTCATAGCCTTGTTTAATTCTTTCACCACCTGTCATTTCAGCTCTCACTCCAGATATTTTCACCACCGAACCTGTTGAAACAGCAGATGACAGATTCTCACCTTAATGGCAACCAGCATCTTGTCGTCATCGGGGCTGAGGTTGGCACATTCGGCCAGGTAAACCTTCCCAAACGCTCCCTCACCCAGCTCCCACTTCAACATGATGTCCTGCCGTTTGATGTGCTGAACACCTGAGATGACAGACAAAAAAAGCAACTGAAATCTTCCAAGTTCCGTGCACATCCCACTGATCTGTACAGACTTTTGTCTCAAGATTTAACGTAATATGTCTCAGGAGGATGCTCCAGCAGCAGATTATGTGGGAATGATTTAAAGGAATGAGTGTTTTCCACTTATTTCTCTAAATGTTTCTAAATCTGTTATCTAAATGATTGTGGATCATATCCTGAGTGATCCCAGGATGGCTCTGATCTATAATTCCACCCAAACATTTAGTGAAAACACATCAAGAGTCAGGAGAAAAGTTTTCTAATTATCACAAATGCTGAAACAAATTAAAAGCTGACATTTTAAAGAGAGATAAAAGAAAATGAAAGGTCCTAATAAGCCACTAGCTGTGATGTGGAAGCTGAGCTGACACTCACTCATGTCTTTGTCCTTGATGATGCCACAGAAATACTGCGGGTTCTCCACGAAACTTGACAAGCCAGCATCTTTGTCTGAAGAAGGCGTGCCTGTACCAAAGTTCATGAACTGCAGCGACACAGCCAGGTCGTCCTCCGTCCCCAGAACTGATGAGCCTTATGAAGTGGACAGACAAGAGGAGCCGAGGGGTTTATGACATCTAATCAGTCTCCAACCTCTTGTGATTGCAGCAGCACACAAAAGAGGCAATTCAGCACTCATTTTTCCCTTTTTAGAGAATCAACATTCTCTGCTCCCAACTCTGCCGCTCGATTGTTGGTACCATGGTGACAGATGATGGCAAGCTCTAATAATCACCATCATCAACCATGCGGCAATCAGGCCACATTGAATTGGGGAAGAAAGTGACCAGAAAGACTGGATGGTTAGCAATACCTCGCTACGGTGCGTAATAAAAGCCAAACAAGTGGAGCCCAAATCGTAAAACCCACTCAGCAAGGCAAACCACAGAACCCCCAGAGTCCAAAACAGAAGAAAATGGAACAACAAAGAGAGAGCCCAGAGGAGATGGAGGGAAGGAAAGAGGGAGCACAGTCCACTTAGGCAATCAGGCCCACTTAGGAGCCCTGAGTCAGGAGAGGAAAGGGAGGAGAGTCCTCATGGAGCTATATCGCATCTAACTGTCCATCCATCCATCCATCCATCCATCCATCCATATCTATATCTATATCTATATCTATATCTATATCTATCTATATCTATCTATATCTATCTATCTATCTATCTATCTATCTATCTATCTATCTATCTATCTATCTATCTATCTATCTATCTATCTATCTATCTATCTATCTATCTATCTATCTATCCATCCATCCATCCATCCATCCATCCACCCACCCATCCTCTAACAACAGAGATCGTTGCCTGCACTTACTTCACACTAAAATACAAATTAGTGCATTTCCGCTGAAGGGTCTATCAAGGCAACAACCCTTTCATGGGTTTTTCTACTTTGCATGTAGCAGGCTGGAAAAGCTGACAAAAAATGTTGGATTCTTTGTTTTTACCTTTGATCCAAAAAAACAACTCATAATATGAAAATAAATGAAAATCTTGGCAATTCTTCATGATACCTTCTAACCCAAAATTACAACTTGCCAAGAAATGTAGGGTTTTGTAATTTGATGTATTTGATTTCAGCTTAAAACAGCTAAATTTATGTCAGAAGGAATAGGATCCACAATGAAATCAGTCTAATTTAGTGAATTAATGCAGGTTATGACCAAATGTAGCCCATCAACGGTCCAGTGTACTCCAGAAGAGTAGGTTAACATCTAAAGATGTGTTTAGGTTTATCACAGACAATACTTGGATCCTGCAACAGACAGCAGTCACATGGATCTGTGGCCAAAGGTTCCTCAGAAAAGGATAATTTTGTTGCAGCACTGTTTTTGTAAAGTTAAAATCCCACACTGGTGAAAAATTTTCACCGCATTTTACCCATCTTCTGAGGGAGCGGTGAGCTGCAGACACGGCCACAATCGGGGAATCATTTGGTGGTTTAATGCCTCAATCTAACCCCTTAATGCTGAATGTCAAGTGGGGAGACACTGAAGTCTTTGGTATGACCCAACCGTGGATTTGAACCCACAATCTCCCAGTCTCAGGGCAGATAATTGTACCAATAGACCACTGAGTTGGTTGTAGCTCTCAGCTGTAGTAGATAGCCAGATGAAGTATTTTCTTTAAATCTAAAATGAGCTCCTGCTGAAGGTGTTTTCTGCTGACTTCAACAGACCAAGAACCAAACACCAGCCACATTCTAGCTGCTGCCTGTTGGAACAATGTGGACATTACTTACGGTGAATCCCAAACTTGGTTTGTTGGCCACATTTGTTTATAACCAGGATAACGATGAGCAGAAAAGTGCAGGCAAACACAGCCAAGCCCACGGCCACAGACACCTGTCAAACAAACATGTCATGGTATATTACACATTAATAGTCAGGCAAGTACTAATCTAATGCAAATCAGAAGAAGGTAGGAAAAATGGAGCAATGGACCTGCAATGTGAGCAACAGATTGCAGGTTTTGCAGTTTTATTTCCTGATGTTCGGACATCTTGTCTCCTTAATTGGTTAACAGCAAAGTGACTCAGCCACTGACTCTGTTTGCCCTGCAGTGTTGATGTTTAACCTCCTTAGAAAAACACGCCTGAAGAGTTCTGCAATGTTGTGGAGTTGCTAATGCTAAGTTAGGTTCTACTAGCCTGCTCTCTCCTGGATGCTAAATCAGCAATAGCCTTCTAGCCAAGATGCAGTCCATGAACACTAATTTGACAATGTAACATGCAATTGTCACTGGCGTTTCTAATGCAACAGTTCCATCCATCCAACCATTTTCATCCGCTTATCCGGAGTCGGGTCGCAGGGGCAGTAGCCTAAGGCGAGAGGCCCAGACTTCCCTCTCCCCAGTCACTTGGGCCAGCTCCTCTGGGGAATCCCAAGGCGTTCCCTGGCCAGGTGAGAGACATAGTCCCTCCACCGTGTCCTGGGTCTACCTTTAGGTCTCCTCCCGGTTGGACGTGACCGGAAAACCTCACTACGGAGGCATCCAGGAGGCATCCTGACCAGATGCCCAAGCCACCTCAACTGGCTCCTCTCCATGTGGAGGTCTACTCCGAGCCCCTCCCAGATGACCGAGCTTCTCACTCAATCTCTAAGGGAGAGCCCAGCCACTCTTGGGAGAAAACTCATTTCGGCCACTTGTATCCGCAATCTCGTTCTTTCGGTCACTACCCAAAGCTCATGACCATTGGTGAGGGTAGGAACGTAGATCGACCGGTAAATCGAGAGCTTCGCCTTCTGACACAGCTCTCTCTTCACCACGACAGACCGGTACAACACCTGCATCACTGCAGATGCAGCACCAATAAGCCTGTTGATTTCACGCTCCAGTTTTCCCTCACTCGTGAACAAGACCCCCGAGATACTTAAACTCCTCCACTTAGGGCAGAACCTTCGGCCCGACGCACGGCGGAACTATTCCTGGAGAACGTGGTGCGCCTCCACGGCTTCCCTGTCGATGTGGTCTCCGACCGGGGTCCCCAGTTTACGGCCCGATTCTGGAAAGCCTTTTGCCACCTAATGGGAGCATCGGTCAGCCTATCCTCAGGCTATCACCCGCAGACCAATGGTCAGACGGAGTGGGCTAACCAACAGCTGGATCGGTACCTCCGATGCTTTGTCTCGGCCCAACCCTCGCAATGGCCTAAATACCTCCTCTGGGCAGAGCTGTCCCACACCTCTTCAACCACTCATGTGTCCCCTTTCGAGGTCTGCTATGGCTACCAGCCCCCGGTCTTTGCCCACCAGGAGCCCGAAGTTGCTGTACCTGCCGCGCAATCCCTAGTGAGGCGCTGCAAGAACGCCTGGATCAAAGCACAAGCTTCCAACACCCGAGCTAATGCCCGTTACGCTCGCCAACATCTCCGCCGACACCGTCCTGGTCCCTCCTATGTCCCTGGGGATGAGGTCTGGGTGTCCACCGTGGACCTCCGCTTCCGTGCTGGATCTAAGAAGCTCGCTCCCCGGTTCCTCGAGCCTTACACAATACAGAAGGTCATCAACCCTGTCTCGTTCTGGCTGCGGTTGCCGGCGACTCTCCGCGTTCATCCCACCTTCCACATCTCCCGACTCAAGCCCTATGTGGAATCCTCCCTGCTTCCGCCTCCGGCTCCAGCTCCGGCGCCTCTGCCTGCCCGCTTCCTCAACGGTGAGCCCATCTACACCGCCCAACGCATCCTGGACGCCCATCACAGGGGTCAGGGATGGCAGTACCTCGTGGACTGGGCGGACTACGGCCCCGAAGAACGCTCCTGGGAACCGGCCCGCTCCATCCTGGACCCTACCCTTATCTCTGACTTCTGGGACCACCGGGGCCGCCCTGGGACTTCAGGAGCCGTCCCTGGATGGGGGGGTCCTGTCAGAACCCAAGTCCCCAAACCAGCCTCTCCCAGCTGGCCGACTTCCACCATGGACCACACCTCCCAGCATGCCCCTTGCGGGGATTCCCTCCACGTCGCACCTACGTCACGAACCGCGACTATATACGGAAGTCGCCTACCCCAGCTCACCACTCAGTCATCGTTTCTGCGGATCTATGATCAGAGTTTCCAAGCAACCGATCCATCTTAGGAACTCTCAGCTCACAGTAAGTGTTCTTACTTACTTCTGGAAAACCCAGCATTTCTGTGTCACTTCATTGATGCTCGAACGCTCGGGGATTCCTAGATTAAACCGTGGTCTGTGAGACCACGCTCTCTACAAGCTCAAATCCCATGCCCAGCCGACCAGTCTGACATTTTGTTTGAAAAAATGTAAATGCTGATTATTACGCATTATTATTAGTGAGGATTTTTCTTTAAAATCTTAACTCACCAAAGTTAAAAAGAGAAAACGGAACCTGCTAACCATTTACTTCAGAAAATGTTAATAAAACTTATTTCAACCCAAAGGGACAAATATTTTTATTGCTGCAATGCAGAACTTCCAAGAGTATGAGCAGGCCTACAGACAAAGTATTGATTTTAATAACAATAATGTTTTTATAGTTGGTAATTTGTGTGCTGCAGAAATTAGATTGAAACAATCAGCAGATGGACGTAACCTAATTTCTGGTTGATAATCCAGATGTTATCAGCAGATTCTCTGTCTGACTCAGGGACATAAAAATTTGATTGGAACTTTCTCCTAATCATCAGGATCTTTTACATGAGACTGCGACATGCTGACATACCACAAACACTCGGCTCTCTGGGTTCTCTGTGACGTCCATGTTTGATTTGGTTGCATGAGCTGAAGACGAAAAAGGATGAATTCACAGAGTTATGTTCGGGTTGAGGACACATGCAGGCATTTTAGGAGTCACAAAGTCAAAGATGAGGACTCACTTGGATTCTCAACAGGGACTGGCGTGTGGGGGAAAGAGCACAAACACTGTGGTGAACACAAACTCTGAGATGCAAATCTTTCCAACTTAAGTTCTCAACTAGATGCTGTTAGAAGTTTCTGAAATTGTTATTTGCTTTTTATGTATACGTTTTTACATCAGTTTAGGGTTAGGGTTAGTGAAGTAAAAGTAGTTTAAAAAATAATGTGGGTGATACTTTACAATAGGGATCCCTTTATTATTGTTACTTAATGCATTATTAAGCATTAATGAAATAGTAACTACTGTATTAACAACTGCTTAATGAAATGCATACTAAGCAGACCCCCCCCCCCCCCCCCGGTCCTTTGTCCTAACCTTAAAGAAACTTAATAGTTAACAACAGTTATAATATTAGTAAAGGTACCTTTTCTTTTTCTAATGCTTAATAATGCACTAAGTAACGGTTATAAAGGGACCTTTATCGTAAAGTGTTACTGTAATATGTGCTAAAACTTAGAAATGCACCAAAATAACTTAAGCTGCCCTTCAAAATAAAAGCACTGCTAATTCACTGTAAAAAAAACACATTTAAAATTAAGCTCAAAGTGAGATAGGTCAGCTGAATCACCGTGATGGCTCCAAAAATAATTTTGTCAGATATTACTGCCATGTTAAGAGAACATGGGCCACTCGGAAGCACGTTGCAATTGCTCCAATCCCAAATCAGGATGTCCAACATGTCAGATTGTCTTGGCCTTTTTAGTACAAACAAGCGTGCTGACATTTGAATGTGACATGTAGCGATTCAGAAAGAGAGATGCAGTCTCCTACTCTGCCATGTTTGTTTACTCAGAAGTCACGTTTAATCTCGGCAGGTTTTGTGAGATTTCCAATCTGATGGTGGAATGTTTGTGTGAGAAATAGGATTGTGTGAGGAATAGTTTTTGTTGAGTTGTCTCACACCACATTCCAGATAACCAACCCTGCTAAATACATTGTTTTATCACCACGTGTGGTTGCTTGTGTTCTGAAAATGGCCAAATTTAAAATCCTGCAGTGTGAACTGGGTCTAAGTCAAACAGTGGTGGCCAGATGATAGCACTGTTGCGTCGGATCAAGAACGTCATAAGTCCAATCTCGGTTGCAGCCTTTCTGCGTGGACTTGGTGTGTTCTCCCTTTGCATCTGAGGGTTTTTTTGTGGGGATTCTGGCTTCCTCCCGAAGGCAGAGACCAGGTTTGTCTTGTAACTCGAAAGACACTGACAAAAAATGTCTGGAGCTTGACTATTTTTAGTTCAACGCTAACAAACATCTAACATTTTCAAGGGCATGTGACCATTTCTGATCGGTTGCACCTGTTTGTGCAAACCTGGATTTGCAGCCTAAGCCAGAAATCTTTAGGAATAAGTCCAAAAATGTAAAAACAAATAAATAAAATAAAGCAGGAAAGCTTAATAGTTTAAAAAGTAGGAAAAGAATAGAAAATGTTTAATGAACAAAGAGGTCAGCCAGGTTTGTTACAAATAGATGAACGTGTGAAACTTTTCGGATGTATCTCATAATCTTTGATCTGTTGCTCTCTTCAAACGGCCTCCTACTTTACCGGTTAGAAGAATCTCCCAAAACTGACCTGGGATCAACCCTTCAGGATCCGAGGCAAAGGGATTGTCCATAAACGCCCCAACTGCCGTTCTCTCATCCCATCCGAGTTTGTTCTCCACAATCAGAGTGTAGTTACCGTTGTTGATGTGGGTCGGCTTATTGAGGAAGAGGCAGCCATGTTTTTCTGAGCCGTCTTTTGAGTCTGTGATTAACTGTGTGTACACAAACATGGTTTCTTTTAATATTTTGTTGTTGTACAGCCAGGTGATGTTTGGCTCAGGGTTTCCATCCATTAGGAAGGGGAAACACCAGTGGTGCTGCTGCACGGCGTCCTTCAGGTAGATGATCTTGGCTGGAACTGTGGAGGGATGACAACAATGACAAAAACAGTTAACAAATTTAATACACTGGTGATCATTTGGTGTGTTTTTTAAATAGGATGTACTCTGTGATGGACCGGTGACTTGTCAGAAGAGTCCATCACCTCTCACCAACACCAATAACCTGTAATCTCATAATACTGCATGGTCTTGCACTGTTGGTTGGTGCCCAAAGTGGTGAGTGACTCTCAGCTAATACCAAATTTTAGCTAATATCTGTTAAAATGAGACTTTCGTCTTTCGGCTTTCCATTTTGAATTGGAGTGACTCCAAAAGGTAACTGATGTGCGTGTAACTCAAGCCCCCCACAATGCAGCTCTAAAATTGAGTCAAACCCGGAAATGAAATAAATTGCAGTTCCACCCTCATCTGCTGGGGGCTGGTGTCTGAAGCGAGCAAATCCTCATTGACTCCCATTTTAAAAATACCAATTTCACAGCAGAAATAAACATGTTTACAGCCTGGTACCAAAACATGTTTTTTGTTTAAATTATCTAGTTTACACTCATGACAACTCTGAGGGGGGTGATTTTTTGTGTGGATATTTTTAGTGCAATTGTTGGACAAAAAGACTTGCTGTGGCATTAAATTGCATTAATAGAGCATCCAAGGAGTCTCCACTTCATTTTTTTCGGGAAGTAAAATTATATTTATGTATTTTAGGTCACTGCCGAGCTGAGCTTAGATTTTAACATGTACTGTTTAACCATGAAATTTAAATGTAATAGGGTAAAACCCAGTGCATTTAACACAATGCTGCATTTTAGAAAATGGGTTGAAATATAACATGTTGGTGGAGCTGAGTTCCGACTATCGGCTTGTGGAGCTCTCGGGAGACCGATGTTTTCCACCCGTTTCTCCCCTGGCTTTGCGGCTTCTGTTTGCCGCGCGCAATGCCGGCTGTTTCTCCCTGCAGCTCAGCACATCTCTGTCTGATCGTGGCTTCTTTCTGCTGCGTGGGCTGCCGGCTTGTGGAGCTCTGGGATGGAAACCTTTCCACCCGGTTCTCCCCAGCGGCAGCTCTGCGCATCTCAGATCGCAGCAGCGCTTGTCTGCTGTGCGGCTGCCAGCTTGTGGAGGTCTCGGAGACCTCTGTGTTCCACCCGGTTTTACCCAGCGGTCAGCCCGGCGTACCTCTGACTCAGAAGCTCTGGTGTTGTGCACAGTTAACTCCGGTTGTAGCTAGGTTGCTACCTCCGTTAGCTTAGCTCCCACCTCCGCTTTACCTTTGGGTTAGGCAGGGTTAGCTTCAGGTTAGCTTGTAGCTAGTTCGACCGGGTGTCGTCAGTTGATCCCAGCCTTACAGTCCCACCCTCAGCTCCTCCTCTCTTCCCTTTTGTGGAATTGTCTGGGCTTGACGGAACCTGTGACACGGCGAAAATGGCGGTGGTGGCCACTTCCCATTTGGCCTCAAAAACGTGTTATTGGAGCCTATGGAAAGGAGATGTCCTGTATATTTATGTCGTTGGTGTAACTATCACTTATGGAAAGTACACTCATAGAAAGGGGCAAAAATCTAATAAATAAACCAATTTTTGCCTTTAAAGGTGTAATCTGGAACATGAACACCTTAGCGACATCTAGTGTGTGGAGGTTGTAGTTGCAAACAACAAATACATGGTTTCCGGGCGTCGGGATGTGACCAGCCAGCACCATGTCCAGTGACAAACTGTACAGGGTAAGGACTGATTTCTACTAAAAAGTTCATTTTACAACAGTATTTAACGCCATAGCTGCTTCACTTGTCGACTTGCCGAGTCCGACATTCTCCACAGTGCCAACCTCGCGGTGCCGAACGGACTGTTAACTGTATTTGGTAACCGGCAATGGTGCCCTTTATTGACAGGTAGACATAAACATAAACCTAACGCTGTGCCTGTAAAAATAAATATTTGATTATATTCTAATTAAACTATTTTTGATTAAAAATAGTAAAATAAGCTCATAATTTTTAAAAACGAAAAAGGGATTTTTCAGGATAAAGGGTGAAGGTTTTTAAGTTTTATTTTCTGCTGAACTCAGAGTTTTGTTGTGGAAAACAAAATTTGTGGCTTCATAGCAAGTTTCCCATGAATCAATGTTCTCCATCTGTGCTGCAAACCTGTGCTGACCTGCCATGAATTATGAACCCTGGTCGTCGCCATGCTCCCGACCACAAAAACTACCTGGAAGCTCGATCCTGGATGTGAAGTTACAGGAAATGGTCTTGTTAGGATCGAACACAGCTCTCAAGTGCAGAGACCCCTCACTCTGCCGTGGCCATTGTGATGCTCTTAACCTGCGACCCCGCCCCTGAAAGTGCTGCGCTAAGAGGGAAAGCGGGGCACTCTGAGCTGGCTGGAGTCCACTGCACTGAAATTAGCACTATTAATCACATTTAACAACTAATAGCAAAAGAAGGCTTTATTATACTCAATCAGCTCATTTCAGAATTAGACAGTGACCAATCTGAAAGGTAACACATTTCGGACTGGATTAAATGAATGTATTTAGAGATTTTATGTTAACTTTGCTGGTGCCATAACCGGTGTCACACCTTAAAATGCTCTAGATTAAAAGATCTAGGTTCTGTAATTTAAAAAAAAGGCATTTCAGGAAAAGGAAGCCACGTGTGTAGCATGAATCAATGGCATCGGAAGCCACTCAGCAGTAAACACCCACTGTTCTGGGCAGTAATTAGAAGTAATTAAAGGGCCAGCGGTTAACGAGTGTCTGTCCACCGAGGCAGCCCATGTTGATAGATTAGCTGCACTAACGCGTTCACAGTCTGCCAATCACTGCAGATGAAGCGGTTTTCCGGAGTAGGAGGGAAAAGTCCATTAGCGCGGGCTTAAATCAGATCTCAGCGCAGGTTATCCGCCCATTTTCCTGATGCTCATTATCTGTCCCTTGATGCTCATGCATTTGGCCTCAACTGATTGGCGCCCCATCCTTCCTTTCTTTCTTTCTTTCTTTCTTTCTTTCTTTCTTTCTTTCTTTCTTTCTTTCTTTCTTTCTTTCTTTCCTAATGAGTGTCACCGAGCTGGTGATGTGCAACATTGTTTGGGCGGTATTTTCAGTAATGTATCACTAATGCATCTGACAGTCTTCAGTGGGACCACTGGCTGCTGTTGATCCTCGTGAGGTTCAGCATCCAGACGAACTACTAATGCATCTGAAAGCAGAAAAAGAGCAGCAAACCTCCAAAGTCGAGCCTCAACTCTCATTTCAAAGTGCAGAATAGATAAGGTGCTGGAGCTCTTTTAGAGTGAGATGAGGTTAGTTCACTTTCCTTTGTCCTCTCATTGTATCCCTGCCTTGTGACAAACCATACCTGCAGCACTTTGCTCATATTATTTTAACGCTTCTCACCGGTTGCCAGGCTGAGTGGCAGATGACAGAGAGCTCCATTAGAAGCATGGTGGGTACGTTCTTGTATTTGTAACAGGGGCATTTAAAAGAAATCAGTGCAGTGCATTTTTCCTTTCTCCAGCTGTCCACCCTGCCTGCGCTACAAAATGGTCCCAGTGTGCTCTCGCCCTCACCTCCATTAAAGCCAGTGACTCGTATTGAGCTTGTGAGCTTTCAGGAATTTGTTTTTTATTTTATTTTTCAGGCACTTACACTCAATGTCCAATTGCACCATCCCCTCCTTGGGCCCAGCTTGGTTCTCAGCCTCACAAGTCAGGTTGTGCAGGTTGTCCTTGTAGGAAACGTTGGTGAGGTAAAGGACCAGATTTAGAGACGAGTCCGAGATTACCTTCTGCAGCAGACACACACAACACAGAGGGGGTCAAATCCTCCAGCCCACAACAGATTAACCAGAGGTGTGGATTCCTAAAGATGGGGATCACTCTAAATGATCCCCAAAAATCAAAATAAGCAGAATAGTTCCTAATTCACTAAAACTGATGTAAAAACTAAAAAAATTGATTCTAGTTGTGCAATGCAAGTTGAAGCAGTTTCCGTTGGTCTTTTTTTTCTTGTTTTAGTTTTTTTAGCAACATTTGTGTGGTTCAAGCTGATTTTTGAGTTTACAAGCCTTTAAAATTGGGATTTCATAAACTAAGAAGTCTGGAAAGCATATAATTAGAATGAAAATACTTTTTAGAGCAGGAAAAATAATGATCTTTGAAAAAAACACAAAAAGAGCAAATTACATATTTCTATGAATTCTGCAAGTTTGAACTTATTTAAAACTGATTTCTCACTGGATTGGGACTTTAAGCATTCAGAAACTCAAAATTCTGGGTATTGTCATAGTTGCAATCTCACTAAACTTGAACTAATGAGCACGCGTAATGCTTGGCAAAGTATGAGAGGGTCAAATTTCGTCTGAAGTTCCCAATCTTGTTGCCAAATGTTGCAGGGATGTCCTGGGAATGCCTGGAAACTTTTACAAAAGTATATTGAGAATGTGTTTTAATTGCAGCTATATCCTTCAGCCATTGTGTGTATTTGTTTTAAATGTGATGCAGCGGTAGGGGGAGAATCAAGTAACACCTGCAAAGGGTTCCTGAGCCTTTAGATGGTCTCTCAGTCTAATTTTAATTACTGAAATTAATGGGCTTTTACCCAATTTTCTCATTTTCTTGATTTCACCTTTGTGGTTTAAATGAAATTATTAGATCCCAAAATCTTTCTTCCTTCTTCTCTAAAGCCAGTATTTTATTGGGGCCACGAGTGTTCGAAACACAATTAACACTCCTCCCATTTGGCGAAGTTACATGAGGCATTTGAAAGCAGATTGTAACTTTTGTGCTTAAAATTTTGTAAGAAAATGTCTCAATTTGTTTGCAATTAACAATAATATTATTTGTATTGTGAACGTTATTGTGACGTTCCTGAAAAATTCTCCACACTTTTTACACAATGCAGCAAAACTAAGACGGCTTCCGGATGAATTTCAATGATAATTTGAAGAGATTTTCTAAGAAATTTCAGCAATAACGACGCCCTGTGACCTGCCAGTGGAAAGGGAAAATCTTCGGGAGGATCTTGAGACAAAGTTAAGAAACTACTGCTGTTCACAGTTAGTCCACAACAGTCACATTTTACTTTTCTAGATTATATTTTCAAAATAAAATAAGATAATTAGCAGGATGAACTTTTTTACACCAAACTTCACAGGAATCCACCCAGACAGCATCTAGTAAAAATCCCTCTTACCTGGACAACAAAGGGAGAGGCAAGTTCATCGGTTTGCCATCTGACCTCAGGCGTTGGATTTCCTGTCACATGACACTCAATTGTCAGGTTGCCTCCTTCTTGAGTTTTGACCTGTGTGTCAGGGATTTTTACCTCAGGCAGACCTGGGAACAGCCAAGGAGACAGCATGAGCAGGCTGTTCCAATCAGACCTAAGAGCCAAGCTTTAATTTTCCTTCTCTTAATCAGAACAGGATAAAAATATCTCTGGTTTCCTGGCAACAAGATTTTACTCCTGAAAGTGGTTAAAGGAAAGATATCGAGACAATTTGTTGCTGCAATTTAAAAGCAAAAAAAATTTTTTTAAACTAATTAACCTGTTTAGAAATTTTCTATTATTTTGTGGCATTAAGGGTTATAATATAAATAATATAAAAATTTAAACAAAATGTTAGTATTACAACAATTATAAAATATTATAACTTTTAACTTTTCATTCAATCATCCCCAGTTTTTCAGTTGGCTAGTTGTCTAAGGTACGAAAATTATATTTTAAAAAAAAATTCTGACTCATAAACAAACTAACAAACAAAAAAATGTTTCACTATTTCTCTTAATAATATCAAATGTGAAAAAAGTTGAGTGAAAGTTTCATTGGAGAAAAAGTTTAAAATCTAGTTTAGATCTTTGTACATAAATCTGTTTTCACAGAAATGCAGCTGCACCGAGATGAAGAACAACAATCACCAGAATGAAAACTTAACTCACTGCAGTTCTCGATCACCAGAGACTGGAACGATATCTCCTCACCGTCCAAAAAACAGGACAAGATCTGGCTGTAGACCTCACCGCGGTCATCAATCTCCCACTGCTTCAGCCAGAAGTGGTCACATGAGCAAACAAGAGGGTTGTCCTTCAAAACCCTGAGAACAGAACAAAATGCATTCAGCTGTTTTTACGTTTGTCTTATTTCAAAGAAGCAGAGCGCATATGGGTCAGAAGTTCTCAATTCTGGTCCTGGAGGGCAGTTATCCAGCATGTTTGTTACGTTATTAATCTGGTTTATTGGTTGCTTTGGTCTGTAAAGCACTTTGTGATTTTTATCTGCAAAAAGCGCTATAGAAACACACTTTTTGTTATTTCCCTGCTTCAGCGCACCTGAATTTAATCAGCAGGTGATTAACAGACTTCTGCGGAGCCTGATGAGCTGCTGAACAGGTGATTCAGCCACTGAATCTAACGTGTTGGAGCAGGGAATCAACTAAAACATGCTGTGTACCCCTGGCGTAGATCCTTTACAGCACTAGGATTCACCAACTTTCTCAGGCTGCATGCATAATAAATGATCACAAGAGTTCAGACATTTTTTGACAAAGGGCTGCATTCCATTTCTACTCCTGTGCATTCTGTGTTTTCTGTAAAAAGACCTTTTGCATCCTTTCAAGGCAAAATTTCCATCATGAAAATCTTAGAGTAGAAATTATTTTAAATACTGCAATGAAAATACAAAAAAAACAAACAAGTCCTTGTATTTGGTGTTTCAGGATCTGCGTGAAGAACACATTTGCAGGAATTACTGAAGAGGAAATGTTCCATAATGACTACAAAGGCAGCATTTTGAGCTGTAATGAATTCAAATGAACTGGTATGTTTCTGTCACTGACAGAAGGTTCAGAGTTGGAGTCTTTTGTCATCCTTCAGCAAAATATGAATAAATAATCTCTGGAATTATCCCTCGAAATGTAGTTGGAAATAAATTAAATGATACTCAGTTATTGGAAAATATTGGCGGCTTTGTAACATATAACCATAAAAAAGGGCTTTAAAATAAATGGGAGTGGGTCTAAGTCTCTGGGCGATGTCAAATTAGACGCATTGTTTCCTTCTACGTGAGCCCATGAGGACAAAACAAACGGTTACAAACCTTTCGCCATTAATAAACATTGTTGTTTTACATATTTACCTCTTCACTCGTTGCCAGTGATGAAAGGGAATCTTGTTATTTTGCTGGAGGTTTGTGCTCCCAGGGATTTTTTTGACCCTAATGACCATCTGTTGGTAAGGTTATAATCGTATACAAAAATACTGCCTGCTTACAATGATTTAGGTATGTACTGCTCCCTATCGCCAGGGAAAATACACATTGTCGTTTTAAAATTGATCAGTCGTAATAGATTTACTCATGGGAATAAAATGACCATTCTGATTTTATTTATTTAGTAATTTGAGATACTTCAAGTCAACAACTCTCCCAGATATTTCATCGTTTGTGTATGTGTGTGTGTGTGTGTGTGTGCGTGCGTGCGTGTGTGTGTGCGTGTGTGCGTGTGTGTGTGTGTGTGTGTGTGTGTGTGTGTGTGTGTGTGTGTGTGTGTGTGTGTGTGTGTGTGTGTGTGGTGTGTGTGTGTGTGTGCACTTTCATCAATGTTCGGCGATGATCTTTGTGTCACTTTATCCAGAAATTGCTTTAAACAAAAATAATGACTACAGTTGCAGCTTTTTTAAACTTATTTTCTGTGCCAAAGTTTCTGTGGATTATAAGTGCTGTTGTTGCTATGACAACCAGCATGCTTTAGGAAGAAATAAAAAAGATGGCAGATTTATGTATTAAAAAATCTAAGAAAACCACAGGACACTTCATCAATAAAGCCTGATTATAAAACCATTAAAAACAAAAATGGCCTCGTTTGATGCTCTTAGAGAAGTTCTCAGACCTTCTTTAACCCTAAAAACAAAAAGAGCTGAACTTGTTTCCCCGTGGGACGAAGCGTGAAGTTTACTTGTGATTCACACAAGCAGCAAGACTTAAAACACAAAGGAAACGTTGGTCGACTCTGTCCTATGTTTTTGATTAATATACAAATACTTTCTCACATTTTCATGGTTAATTAACAACTATCATGGTAACTTGTTGCAGCAATTGAATTCAATGTTTCATTAGGAATATGAAGTGTTTACAGCCAGAAGCTACAGGTTTCTCTGCTCTATTACCATCATGTCTCTACGGTAGCCCAAAAGGGACAAGTCAAACATGGATTCTAAAGTGTTTTACATCCTTTGAGGTCATGAGAGTTGGCTGTCATGACACTTGTGACTACAGCAAAGTTTCTGTGTGAATGTGCACCACATTTTTCATAATAACAAATCAAGATAATTTTACTTGAGCCTTTGAAGAAAAGAAAAATGACTCACAGGTTGAGTAGAGGAAGAAAATAGAACACTCTCCAGCTGATGTGCTCTAGAGAGTTTGATGCCAGGTTCCTGTGAAACAAAAAGAAAATGTTTTAACAGTTTGTTAACATGACTAGATGTTAGTTTTAGTTTCACTGTATCACCACCTGTCTAGCCTGTTCTCTACCAGTGAGACCAGGGAACATTCCCCATAAATGTGTTGTTTTTTCACTCTGATTCTGTCATGTTATGGAGTCAAGCTGTGGGCTGATTGCTCACCCTCAGAACAATGTGTATCTGCTTTGAATTACTCAGTGGAAAACGTTAATGCATCCAGATTGGCTCTGATCAATTACCCAGCGAAGCATTTCACACCGACCAGAAGCTCCATCCACAACCACCTTGGTTCTGTGTTCTGTGCATTAGGAGATTAGTCCTCAGCAACAAGCAGCTTCTGGATGGAGAACACTGCTCAGCTGCACAACCCAGGATTTAGACCAAGAACAGCATTTATTTTTGTTCTAATGTTGATGACTGGAAAGCCAGATGAGTCTGATTTATTCTAGAAATTATAAAACAATATCTAATTGTTGTGTTGAATTATGTTGAGGTTGTATTTACCACACTTATAAAGATTGTTCGTGTTGACCAAATGTTTTGCAATACAGGTTTTGAGTCCTGTTCTGACTTCCCTGGTCAAGCTGATGATTGAACTTTTCCACTTACAAAAAACACACACTGGCTACTGTCAGGGGCCTCAGTCTCATGTGGAAGATTCACACGCAGCCACAACCTGGCTCCGCCCCCTCATGCACATTTTCTTATCTGATGTTTAGCTCATTTGTTGCTTTAATTTTACAATTTTAAATAAAACGCTGTCATCCTGCTGACACGAAAGCAAAAGAAAGACGGGGTGTTTCTCAGTGCCAAGGAACCTTGCCTTGATGTCTTGGTCCCGCCCCGGTTGCCTGGGAGATACGTCATCAGGAACCGTCAAGACATGCTTCAATGTTTATGTTCTACCATGGCGTCTGTTCTCCGTTTATTAGCCATTTAGCTAGCTGAGCAAGGATACACGGGATGTGTCTTGTAGCCTGGCCTTGGTCAAAAATTTCCCAGATTACACAGCGGTATTTTCAAAAAGATGGCAGATCAGACACTGCTTTTTGGGACAAAATTCAAGTCAACCACTGCAAATTGTAGCTATCGGGCAGATATCTAAAATGTTTTTTTTTTTTTTTAATATCCAAAGTAGTTAGCTATGGTTGGTTCGATGCTATATTTGCAGCTTTGGTGGCTAACAGGTACTAACTCGCCTACATGTTTAATTTAACAAATATATACACAATTTAAAAAGTAAAAGGCACGTTATATATTTCCAGTGAAATTTATTCTTATAGTTACTTCCAGTGTTACATGAAGTTACATGACCACAAGTCTCTTCCATTTAACCATTTTCTTTGAACAAGGAATGACAGTGCCCTCATAAGCAAGGTGCATGGCCTAGCAACACATCGCCTTGCGAGGCCAGGCGCCTTGACATTAAGAACACCCAGGAACTGATACTGAAGTTGTACGAGGTGCCCCCCAGCGGCAGGCTGCAGTTTAAAGTTTACGCCCCGCCTCCTTCATTAAAACAGATTTGTCAATGCCCTGGTTTAATTAAAAATGTATTTTAGATCATTATTTCTAGTGTTGACTCCTCTTTTTCCACACAGTTCTTCCCTTACTGCTGTGTGTTTTATTTCTTATCCATTTAGCTGATGTTTGCCTTCATGTGTTAAAGACAACATGATGTGTAGACTCTAAAATGCAGCATGGCAGCACCTGTAGAAGACAAAATAATATAACAAATTAAAAAAGTAAAGCTTTTAGTTTTTCCTGATTTGTTTTAATTTTCAATTAAATTCATTTTTATTTATATAGCGCCAAATCACGACAAGAGTCATCTCAAGACACTTCACATAATACACATTCCAATTCAGGTCAGTTCATTAAGCCAATCAGAAAAAAAATGTTTCCAATATAAGGAACCCAGCAAATTGCATCAAGTCACCGACTGATTTTGCTTTGTTTTTTTAAATCTCTTGAACGTGTTCATGCTATTGATGCTTACTGTTGTGCTTCCTTTAATACTGAGATACAACGGCTGATATTCTTTGGTCAATCCTCTCAGGCCACTTAAATATCATCACAGCAAAGCTCAAATGCTCCTCAGACTTTGAGAGGCTGTAAATAAACCTCCCTCAGAAGATGACAGAAAGCCACACTGGGGAGCACGCACATGGAAACCAATACATAATCACTGTGACAGGGCCAAGGGTTCAATTATTTGTTTTCCTTGCTCCCAAAAGTTCATGTCAGTTGGGTTAGCCATTGGGGCTTATCCATTACCGGCTCGATTCCTCCTGGAGTCCACAGGGGGAGAACGGAGCCGGGAATAGCAGCTCACGCTCTCCCCGTGATTCCAGGAGGTTTGGAGGCAGACGGGCAGAAACGGGAAGCGTTCAAACGAAAGCTGCTTCTCTGCTTTTTCTTTTAGTTTTTTTAGTCGCTTCTTATCTCAGGAACACTTCTGTCACACATTAACCGGTACACCACTACCACCTCCATCCACGCAGCCCTCCTCCCCCCACAGTGAAATATTGATTAAGTGATAATGGACCCTTAGTGGAGTGTATTTATTATGCATCAGTTGTCGATAATCCGGCAAAGTGAGCGAGTAAAAGGTGACTGGTGGATGTCTTCTCCAGTTTCTCGAGCTACCCACCCTAAGCCCCTCCGCCCCTTACCAACCATCATCTCTGGTCCTCCAAACCCGCCTGTCTTTCAGATAAACAACATTGGACATGTTGAACACGCTCAGTAAAACGATGAGGACAAGATGGTGGTGATAAGGGTCAGCTGTTCGAGTGCAGACGGATCTGATAACTCCATGTGAGACGTGGCGTCGCCTGAACGCCCAAACGGCCCAGAAGAAGAATTGATGATGAATTTATCTATTTTTTATTTGATTGCAGAAATAATCATCTTTAGCAATACACCATTGATTAGTATTGTAATTAGTTTTCTACAAATCAGGAGCTATTTATCTTATGTACGATAATCCCTGTCCAGATTATAGAGATTCTTGAACACAACTGAATACTAATACATCATAAATTATGCTAAAAATTTGCCAACTTTAACAACCAAATTCTAATAATTTTGAGAATTTTTTAGTGACATTTATGCACTGACACTCACACATACTGCAGCTTCAGGTTGTTCTGGAAGGCGTTGGCAGAGATGAACCTCAGTTTACAGGAAGTGATGGTGCTACAAAGGAGTGAGAATAGTTAAAACACCAAATCAGAAATTAGCTAAATAAAATTACAGCGCAGCAGCACATGAACAAAATTATGTAGGTAAGCCTTTAAAGACGGGGCTAAAATGGTAGCCTAAAAAAATGCTCCCTTCTCTTGCAAGGACTAATGCCTGGTTCACACGGCAGGATTTCTAAATGATTTTCAAAAGGCGAGAAACAACACATGTAGATTTTAAAAAGCACTGTATACCAGTGTTGGTTCTCCATTGTGTGGTAAAGAGTACACCACACACAACCGATTTCACACACTAACAATTCCAGATGAGGCGCAAAATCTCACAAACGTGACTTTGGAACAAACAAACATGGCGGAGGAAGAGTGTGCAGCAAAGTCAGACCAAGACAACCCAACATAATGAATACACCTGCTTTGTGATTGGAGCCCTCCTATCACACCACACATGGCAGGATTATCTGATGAGATTATCTTTAGAGTCATTAAAGTTTCTCACACTGGTGAAATCACATATCTGCATTTGACCCATCCCCGTGGATGGAGCGGTGAGATGCAGTAATGGCTGCGCTCGGGAGCTATTTGGTGGGTTAAATCCCCGAATCCAGCCTTTTAAAACTGAGTGTCAAGCAGTATATGGGTCCCATTTTTAATGTCTTTGGTATGACCTGATCAGATTTGAACACTGATCAGGGCAGACACTCATTCCAGCATTGGGCAGGGGAGCCTGCTCATCAGCACCCCAGCAGAAAGGGTCGAACTCTGGGAACGGGTAATGTTTGTACCCCATGTGCAGCAGTACCGGGACCAGAGTGAATAGGGTGTGTATGGGGAGCATGAGTGGGTGCCCGGCGTGTAAGTCTTTGGTTGCTGTCCAAGTGCAGGTCATTGTGTGTGTATGTGTGAGCATGAGGGAGGGAGTGTGTGACTGTGTTTGTGTATGAGTGTATATGTCAGGTGGGGCCTTTGACTCCTCCCCTCTCCTGGGATTTCTTTTGATGATATACATCTTCGTCTCCCCTCCCCCTGCCACACCTGGTTTGGAGTGTGGTGCCTTGGTCTGCCTGAGTGTTCATGGCTCCCGGGTCAGGGGGTTTAAAATTTTTGGCATCTGCCTGATTAATCCCGGTGGCTGCCTGGTGGGATCTTGGTCCCTGGGCTCTGCTGGGTCCCTGGCAGGGGTTGTCACCCCTGGGTTCCGGGTCGCTGGGTCCCGGGCTCGGCCGGCTGGGGGGAGGGAGGCTGCGGGCGGGCCCATGGGCTTGCTGCCGATATCTCCCGAGACTCTGCCGGCTGCTGGTTGTGGCCCCCCGTGGCAATCCTCTGCGCCTCTCGAGGGGGGAAGGGGCTTTTCTGGTCGAGGTCTCCTTGGGGTCCCTGCGCTCTGGGGCAGTTCCTGGATCTCTGGGACTTGGAGCTCCCTCCATCTCCTATACATATTAGGGGGCAGATCTGTGGCCCCTCACACTCTCTATTGGACACTCCTATAGAGAAACCTTACATATACAAGCACGTGTACACACACAGGTGCTCACATGGTGCTCTCATAACCCTAACCCTAACCTAAAGTTTAAAAAAACAAAACAAGAAACTAAAATATAAAAAGACACTCATTCCACTAGACCACTGAGGAGGTCGTTTACAGAAATGAGGCTTTTCTTTAGGATTGTCAGAAGGGGGGGGGGGGGGGGATCAGGTCAAAAACGACACGAGTATCCTGCCGTGTGAACCAGGCCTCACATCATGACTTGCTTACTCTGGGTATCTAACGACTGTCGGCTAGAAATGTAAACATCAAGCTCAAGACAATCCAGACTCTTTTCGATGGTGGCACAACCTATCAAGCCCTACCAGAACAGGATCAGCCAAGTCTATCTTCAAGAAAGTTTTGAAAAGCTTCTCCCACCGTCTTGATTTGCGTAAATGCTTGTACTCTGTACAAGTACATATTAATCGTTAGGCTCCAGGGTGAATGTCATGTAATTTTGTGAGCTGCTTTTGACAAGCTTTTCTGATCCATACGAACATAAAGGGTGGCAGTTTAACAAGAGGAGGGTGAAATGAAATTCTACTTACATGTTCTTCAGCTCTCTGTAGTAAACAAGGTCGACCTCTGTTATATTCTCCAGTCCTGCTTGGTTTTCAATGTAACTACAAGAAAATATGGAGAGGCAGAGAAAAGAGGATTAGTTAAAGCTCGTATTCAAGTGTGACCTTAGGTTTGTTGTTTGGTTAAAGAACCTCAATGGAGGAACTTTGTTGTAGGAAATGCGAAAGAAGAGCTTCAGTTGAAGTAATTTTCTGTCATTTGCATCTCTCAGCAGCTAATTATAGATCATCAGAAGCAAGTTTTTGAAGGTCTGACTGAATGAGAAATCGCAGAAAAACAAATAACATGAGAAAATAGGCACAAGTCTTCAGACTATTTTAAAAACAAGCTGATTTCAAATAAAAGAACAGTTTGAGGTCTCTCTGACCTTTACACACCCAAAAACAACGATCAGAACCCAACTGCATGAATGTCGACGTGAGGGGACATGGCTTACAGACAGCCTGCTGGTGCAAAGACAGCTGATGCTTTAATGTTCTGTATGAGGAGCGGTGTGACTGTATCTTTGGAGGATTTTACCAGAACAAACTGTCAGCATTCAGCTCAAGAGGACTCTTTAAAAGGCTTTAAAACAGATGTCAAGGTTAAAAACAGAAATGTGTGAGAATCTTAAACCCTCTGCTGCAATCATGAGATTATTCTTGGAAGTGGAAAAAAGTTTCATATCTACGTTTATTCATGCACCCTAAACTCCTATTCCTATTCATTTTCTCTCTTTCCTTACATTTTTATTTTATCACAATTTGTATATTTTTTCTCTCATTTAAAACATATTTGTAATCATTTATTAAAAATGTTTTATACTTAAAAAAATATTTATTTATTTATTGTGAAGCTCCTTGTGATTTTAATTTTGAGAGGCGCTATATAAAACATTGTTTTCTTCCTTTCTTTGCTTACAAAGGAACCCATTTCAGCAGATAAGTTAGAGGAGCAACAAGGTTTGATTTTGTTCAAAGGACCAAAAACTTTGATTTGCAGCAAATAATAAGAACAACACGACCCCTAATTCAGGAATCAACCAGCAGGCTGTCAGCAGAACTCAAACCCAGTGAATACATGTTTGGCCAGTAAAATAAAATGTATTTATTTTAAGGTCTTTGGTGTCCACAAGCAAGGACAAGGGAACGGATAGGCTCTCATGGTTGAGCACAGAGGAGACAACGAGGACACGAAGCACAATTTTCTTTGCTCCAACGTCCATGGATTAAATCGCCGGGAGATTAAAAGACTGCTGCAGAACTTGAGAACCTTCTGAACAAGTGATTCAACTTGAGAACCAGAGGCACCGGAGCAGAGAAAACAACCAGACCTTAGTAGCTCCTGTTGGGGTTGAGACCTCCATTCTAGAGTTCTGCTCACTTGGAAAACGTTTTAAAAACAGACTCAGAAGAGAAAGATGCTGTGGTGAAAAGCTGCTAATTCATTTTAGAAGATCACATTATGGCATAGTGACTTTACGATGGAGTTGGAGGAGAGAACAACCCAACAAAACAGAACAGAACCTCACTCAAAAAGTAAAAGTAAAGAGACAAACTCAACAAGAACTAGCAAAGAGTCGACTGGAACAAAGAAACCCTCATTTTCTTCGTTTTATTCTATTTATTTTTCTGGACTCTGATAATTTTATGTGGCACTTTGAGCTTGTGAAATAAAAAAATGCTTTATAAATGAAATGTATTAATAATAATAATAATAATAATAATAATAATAATAATAATAATAATAATAATAATAATAATAATAATAATAATAAAACCAGAATAAATATATAGGGAATGCAAGCGGATGACAAAAGCCTGGTATAGAGCACAAACAGAAAAAGAAAACATTTAAAATGGACAATGGGACAACCTTCACGTTTAAACAGGAAGTTAGAAACAACAAAGAAAACTGTATAAAAAAATACCTTATAAATCTATTTATTTAGGGACGCTCATAACTAACTTCATGTTAGAACAAATGCAGATAAAAGCAAGTTCATTTGTGTTAAAAAGAAGTACACCAACCAGGGTTAGTGATGGTTAGACTTCAGGGGTGCATTATAAACAACCAAGTGTTCCACAAACTTGTCTTTACTTTCCAGCAAACATCAGTGGTCAGTGCTAAATCAGCTTTCATGAGCTAATAGTTATTCTATCATTCTGTTTTATTGATGTTATCAGCAATAACCAACAAAATACATCAAACATTCTTCTATTAAGCTTTTAAGAAATTGAGTAGAATTTACAAGCTTGTGTATTTTTCGTTCACTGTCTCCTATGTGGTTCAAGTAGGGGTGGTCCTAGCCCGTTTGGTGCCCTGGGTTGTTTCTGTCTATGTAACTGTTTTTTTTTTGTTACTAAACAAGCATTTTGTTCAGGGGCCAACTGAAAGGAGATTAGAAAAATTCCACATTTGCTTGCGATGATCTTTTGAGCTAGGCATTACAGACTTAAGATGGTGCTGCATTTGATTCCATTAACCACACCTGGTTTGTTTTCTTTAAGGCATAATAATTATGGCTTGTTATTGTCTTCAGTCTGATGTTACTTGGTGTTCCACAGGGTTGTGGCCTCGGACAATTTTAGTTTTTTTTTTCCGGACTTACTTTGGGAAATGTTACCAAAGTTATGCAGACAACGCTGTACTTTATCTTGGGGTATAGCGAAAGGTGTTATTTAAATAAACTTTTCTTACGGATGCTAAAGTGAAACAAATTAATTCACTAGTTTGGGGCCTGAAAACAATCAGGTTCAGGAAACCTTTTGTTTCAGTGGTCCTGAACTCTGCATTTGTCCCATATAGTCTAACTGCTGTGATGCTGGACTCCCAGGTAGCTAAGGAACTTAACTGTGCAATAAATCCGTAAACACTGAAGTCATTGTCCTCCAACCCAAAACAAATAATGTTAGTTTTTTATCTGCACTGATTGAACATTCTACTCTGGGTACAAATCTGACTAAATTAAATGTACTTGAATGAGCTTCAGTTTCATCCGGACCATAGTCTGCCAGTTTAATCAGATTTTTTCCCTATTGTACTCATATTGTTTCATTTTTACTGTCCATTTTCTTTAATTACACCGCAGCTTTTACAGAATTACTCTTTAGATTTGTTTCTTATTTTTTGTCCAATTTCTTTTTCTGCTTTTGTTCTAGAAAGCCCTTCATATCCCTGCTTGAACAAAGCAATAAATGAAGTTATGACTGCTGTAATTCAGTCTGTGAGAAGTTTTAGGAAGGATGTAGAAAGTTTGTTTTGAATAAAGACATTTTCAGTAATGTACCTGCAGTTCTTTCAGCACGTGGCATTGTTTCAAATCAACACTTTCCTGTTTAGCAGCAACACACAAACCTTTATATTCATGTTTGATTGACCCACACAGCAGTAATGTGATTACAGGGCAGGTGGGCCCAGGATTGCCCATCGGCCTCTCTTATTGGATTGAGCCAAGTGGGTTGTATATCATCTATTGTTCCTGGGTGGGGGCATTGACTGGCAATTCACAAAATTGAATTTATAACTCTGCGTATGATGAATTTTGGCCGCCGTTCAGCAGTTAATGGCCCCTCGTTTGTTCCATGCATCGCCTGTATTTTCCTGCACTGCCAATACAGCCGAGTGTTGTTGTTTGCTGGCATGTAGAGCGGCTCGGTAAACAGACGCCCGCTCTCTTATTGATCGAACATCTGAGAGAGAATGTCAAGCCTGAGCTCTGTGAAGCAGCCGCAGATACAAGGAAACACCTCTGAGGTAAGAGGGAGAAAAGACACGGGTGACTGAGGAAGAAAAGGAGACAGAGTGGTGTATATAGGTGAAAGAAATTGGCAGAAAATTGACCTGCACCACTGAAAAAGCATTTCACAAATGTAGTTCCTTCTTAACAAGTGCTAATTGCTCAGATCCGGGTACAGGAACAAAGAGAGAACAGCATGGCGGAGTAGAGACTGACATTTAGTTTCTCATGCTGGAGCTGATGGTGGGTTGCTTAATAATACAGCAGCTCTCTTTAAATCACAGGTGGTCAGTTTCTGCTGCTTTTTCTGAGCAAAGTTTTAAAAAGCCAGCGTTAAATAACAGCCTTCTATCGTAGACATGCTGCTGCAGAGTGAGAAGTCTCCGTTCAGCAGAGCGGAGTTTTATTCACACATTTTCCCCTGCTGTTAGTCTGTCCGTCAAACATAATGATAGAAATGTGTGGCAGCTTTGACTGTAAAGCACCGCCTGAATTAAACCAAAGCAACGGATCACCATCCACGACATCTACGACTTCTACAACTCCAGAGAAACCAGAAACAAGTCCCTCAACGAGACAAGAAGAACAAAATTCACATCTGAGCTCAAAGTTCAAGAAACACTTAAATATTTCAGCAAATCATAGCATTAAGATTTCAGCTTTGACAACAAGTAATTGTTTGTTGTTTGTTGTAACTTCAAAATGAAAAAGTGTCTCGTGTTTTAAGACACACATTCAGATTCAGGTTGGACTCCACTGTTGCACTCAGAAAACATCTTGATCTGCTGTTTTCTAACTTTATTTCACGCTTTTTGGATTTGGAACAAAGCTGCACTTAGAACATGTTCCTTTGGTGAGATCTCTGACTCGCTCTGTCATGCAAACCACAAATCATAACATCAGATGAAACCAACCAAGCAAACGTACACATTTCTGTGTTCTTGTCATAAATTCAATAAAGTTTCAGCTTCAAACTAAATTTCTTCTAAACTTCAACCTTTTTCACAAGAATCAGAAGCCAGTCTCCATGGCATCCCCGTTCCACGCCCCCAGTGTCTCTGAGGCCTGCCTGGGCACATGCAGAGCAGGTGGGAGCCTATACTCACATCTCTGTCACGTTCTCGCTCTCCTGTGGTACCAGTGGTGGGATGCTGCTTATCCCATTGGGCTCCAGGCACTGCAGCATGGCAAAAGAGCACCGGCAAGCCGATGGGCATCCTCCCAAAGTGGGTGCGGGCGACAGGCTCAGCACGGCAAGCAACAGGGGCAAAAGAAGCGCCAGAGCCCCGGGTGGCACATCCATCTCGCGTGTGTCTCCTCAGCACAGCCAGGAACGTAGAGGACTTTGTGTCTGTGTGGTTCACCTAATGAAGACTTAATGAAGAGGGGTGAAGAGCTTTCCCACACTCTTTTGGTAGTGAGCCACAGCTGTACTGAGCAGCAGGAGGGGGCAGGCACACAGGCAGGCTGAGGGCCCCTGGGGACATGCTAGTGGTGGGCTGGAGCCTCTCTTTTTTCCTGCCTCTCTCTTCATCTCCTCCACCATGAAGGGAGGAGCAACAGAATAACATAGGCCAAAGTCACCAGACACCTTCAAGAGTGAGGTGGGGAGAGGGAGGGGTAGATGGTGAGGGTGTGTGGATGGTGATGAGCAGAGGAGATGAGATATGATGATGCCTTCAAGCTCCCAGCTCAGCTGGGCTGCTGGAAGAAGTCAGGGCTCTTTGGTGCCTGAATGCACCATGGCACGCTCTTTCTCCTGCAGCAGGATCCTTTTAGAGATCAGGACTGAGGCCAGCCGTGAATCTAATCTCTGTGAAAATGTGATGCACTCTGTGTGAGCATGGAAACGGGTTCATGTGTAATCTCTGGACTTTGTATGAAACTCTTATCTTGCTTAGTTTACATAACAACTGTAGCGTGCCAAAGGACAACAATTTGGGTATTTGTCCACTGTAAGCTCAGAGGTCCTCTCACGGAAGTGTCCAGGCTGTTTCCCCTGTACTGGTCTCCGAACCAGTAAACACACTGCTCTATGGCCTTGTTGCTAAGAAAGGAAGCCCAAAAAAGCTCCTCTCCTGAATTCCTTTATCTTAGCTCAAACCAAACCGGCAGAAGAATAAAGTTCATCTTCCTTGAATCATGAATGACTTTACAACTTTATAGGTTGACATAATCAAATGTGTTGAATGAACAAGATGTTTAAATCTAAAGTGTTTTAACAATGTGTACATTAATCAATGATGGGTTCAAATGGATATTTTTCCAGTAATGATTAATTTCAGACAAACTGGTGAAATTCATCTCCGTATTTGACCCACCCCCAAGGAAGGGAGTGGTGAGCTGCAGCCACGGAGGTTTTATTCCCCAATCCAACCCCTTAAAGCTGAGTGTCAAGCAGGGAGGCATTGGGTCCCATTTATATAGTCTTATGACCCGACCGGGAATTGAACCCCAATCTCCCAGTCCCAGCTGGTGTTAAGATTATGCAACATCCAGCAGAATCAGGATGAGCCGCCGTCTGCCTGGAGCACCTGAGGTCTGAGAGAACAGGTACGATGCAGAGTCAAACATGAAGAAGTCAAACATGTCATTGTTTCTGTGAAGATAAACTGAGTTAAACACAACAACAGAGTGAAGAAAACCCAGTATGTCCTCCAGTCTGAGCCTATCTGCATAACTAAAGGGACGAGCCAGCATAAGCCAGGCTAACTAGAAGACTGATTTAAAAAGAACGAAAGCCTGAATTCTTGAAAGCTAACAGGGTTTCTGACTCATAAACAGAAACTGGAAGCAGGTTCCACGAGAGGAAACTGAGAACTGAAATATCCACTACCTGCCAAACGTGAAGTCTGAGATCCAGGTGCTCTGCTGGGAACATCTGGAACAAGAAGATCACTAAAAGAAGAATGAACATGATCTTTCAGAGCTTTAGAAGTTTAAAGTTAAAACTTAATTCAGTTCTGGATCTTACATGGAGCCAGTGAAGAGATGCTGGAACTGGAGAATCTGATCTTTCCTACTGAATCTCTTCAGAACTCTGGCGGCAGCATTTTGGATCTGCTGGAAGCCTCTAATCTAAGAGAACCTTTAGAACATTCTGATTGAAGTAGACAAATAAAGCATAATAAGTAGATGGATTAGTTTCCCTGCATCACAAGTCAGGATGTTCCTGATATGAGCAACATTGCTCAGATGGAAGAGGGCAGGAACTCCCAGGAACATGTTTTGTATTGGAGCTGAAGCTCTGCTCCTGGAAAAGAATGCCAAGGGTTCTTACAAGTTAATGCCATCCTGAGAAAGTTGATGACTAAGCAGCTGGTTCCTAAGGTGATCAGGTCCAAAAAAATTAAAAACAGAATGAATTTGGCAGATAGTTATCACAAACAAAAAATGATGTAATGTAATATAATGTCATGTAACATACTATAGTATAAAATAACATGATAAAATATAATATCATGTGATTTAATCCGTCTATCCATCTATTTTCAGCTGCTTATCTGAGTTGGGTCGTGGGGGCAGCAGCCGAAGCTGAGAGGCCCAGACTTCCCTCTCCCCAGCTACACAGGCCAACTCCTCCGGGGAAATCCCACGGTCCCATGCCAACCTAGAGACATAGTACCTCCAGTGTGTTGGGTCTTCCAGCTCGGTGGCCTAGTGGTAGATTGTCTGCCCTGAGACTGGGAGATCAAGGTTCAAGTCCCGGTCGGGTCATACCAAAGACTTTAAAAGAATGGGACCTCCCTGCTTGACATTCAGCTCAAAGAGGTTGAATTGTGGGGTTAAATCATCAAATGGTTCCCGAGAGCGACTGTGTCTGCAGTTCACCGCTCCCCTAGGGGATGGGTCAAATGTGAACCTCATCCCTGACCTGGAGAAGGCATTCCACCCATTTCTGATTCAAGACCATGGTCTCATTAATGGAGAAGCTGATTCTCATCCCACCCGCTTCACACTCGGCTGCGAACCTCTCCAGCGAAAGCCCATATCAGAGGGCCTGGTACCACATACTCCTGGAGTACCCCCCACAAGGCCCCCCGAGGGACGTGGACGAGCGCCTTCTCCAAATCCACAAAACACATTTAGATTGGTTCAGCCAGCTCCCACATACCCTCCAGGACCCCCCAAAGGGTATAGAGCTGGTCCAGTGTTCCAAGATCAGGACCAAAACCACACTGCTCCTCCTGAATCTGATGTTCGACAGTCCGACTGACCTTTCTCTTCAGAACCCCTGAATAGACCTTACCAGGGAGGCTGATAATCATTAATATAATAGTAATTAGGGCTGCTCAATTGATTGAATTTTAATCACAATTACGATGTGAGTTTTGAAGGATTATACAAACAAAACAAGCCGATTATTTGCTCCTCCCACTTGCGCTGCCCTGAGTTGCAAATGAAGCGCTCCTCCACAGTGTTGCCAACTTAGTGACTTTGACGCTATTTCTAGCAGCTTTTCAGACCCCCTTCTTGACTTTTTAAATCTTAAAAGTACCTGGCGAACACCTCAGAAACATCTCTGGTAACCCTTAGCTACTTTCAGGATAACCGTCGTTGACATTTCCTGCAGGTTAGCGAAACACTCCGCCTGCGCTCCGGACTGTTCTTCAGGACATTAGGAAAGGGAATGATGTAGTGATGTGTCGGTCGCTAAAGAAACGGCTCTCGGAGCCTGCTCCCTGTTGGATTAACCAGAGTGAGTGACACACACACCGCACCTGCGGGCTCCTGAGCTGCTAAAAACGGCTAAATGTGCGCGTGCGGCGCCCTAAACACACGTGCAGCTTGCCCCCGATTCCTGTGAGACCGAGTTGGGGGGTGCAGCTGTGGTTGGGACAATTATTACATTAACTGATGGACCTGTGAATAAATAGTTTATAAATAAGGTAGAAATAAGTTCCTCACGCTGATAAATAATAACTAATCTCTCTGAGGACACGGTGCTAGTGCAAGCTCCTACAGCACCTTGACACGACTCAATAACTGTTATGCAACATTTTGTGAACATCAATTTATTTGCGTTTATTTGTTATAAATGCCACTGTATAATTCTTGCTGTAAGTATTTGCAAGATATTGGTATTTGGGTCTGTACTGGTTAGACTTAAATGAGTTAAACCAAGGTCTATAGCTATAAGTATATTGGTCTTTTTATACTGGGAATCAGGAGTTATTTTAGTGATCATCTTGTTTCTTATTTATTTTTGTCCTGATTGTGCCCTGAGCAATTTTATGGCTGAATAAAAACAAATAAAATCAACATAAATTGAAAAATCGTCTTTAATAATCGAGATCTCAATTTCAGTCACAACAATCGTGATTATTGTTTTTGCCATAATCGAGCAGCCCTAATAGTAATGTAATGTAATATTGTAATATATAAAATTACAACATATATGTTTTCTAATTACACTCAGTTTCTTGTTTTGTCAACTTGTTGTACACAGCAAATGCGTTTTAAAGATTAACCAGTTTTGTCAAGAAGAAAACAAAAACAGACTTTAAAGTGTGTTTTTACCCAATTGTGTCTGTATATTTTTTCTATCACGCTGGACCACCACGTACCATCAGACTGTCCATCCAATCATGTTGCTTACCATCTCTACACCCCCACCCCTTGGGACAGGCTTGGTGCCCCACCCCCCCCATTAGTCACTCTGCACATGAGTAGGGTCAAAGTGTCCCGACCACAATTACTGGCCATGAGCTGAATCACTCTTTTTGCTGCAGTCATCAAGATTATCTGCTATCTTAATTACCCTTTTTTCTTTGGTCCTTGCTCAGCAGATATTATTGGGGGTGTGTGGGGTGTGTTTGTGTGTGTGTGTGTGTGTGTGTGGGGGGGGGGGGGGGGTCGGCAAGACACTCATTTCACAGGAAATTAATTTAGCTAAGTATTTCTTCATTCGCAGCCTTGATAACAGGAAAACTTCAGCTCTGGTTTTAGATTGTGGATGAAAAAATGTTTCATTTATATTTGAAAATGAATTTTTGGGTTAAGTTTTCCTGACCTTTAAAAACAACATGATGAAACACAATATTCAATAACTGCAAATAAAATGTTAGCAATACTGAGGCGGATCGTAGTGTAGCAAATAAAGTGGTCTAATTTGGATTTTATTAAGAAAATATTCCCTTCAGTAAACAATGAGGTTATTCTGTTGCACAAGAACCTGGCAATGGCCTGGATGATTACAAGAAAGCCTATAACTCAATGCTGCACTCATGGACCATTGAATGCTTGGAGCTATACAACATCATCAGGACTCTGAGCGCCTTCACTGCAAACACAATGGGTCTGTGGAAAACCACCTTTGAAGCCAGTTGCATGCCAATTGCACGTCTCCATAAAATGTGGCATACAACAAGGAGACACCCTGTCCCTACTGCTATTCTGCATAGGTCTGAACCCCTCAGCCAAATAATCAACAAGACTGGCTATGGATACTGACTCAAGAATGGAACCACAATCAGCCACTTCCTCTACATGGATGACATAAAGCTCTACGCCAAGAATG